ATTGGGCCCAAATTTCACAAGTTTAATCTTTTGTAAATACATACTATTAAATCAAGATATTTTAGTATATGAGAAAGACTTCATTCTGATTGCGTTAGTTGAACTATTAATATAAAGTTTGCAACGTTTTGTGCAGCAATTGAAACAGTGTGTTCACTAAACAAGGCAGATTTGTGTTGAGTAGCAAGATGCACACAAGAGCTTATAATCACTGTCTTGTTTGAGAAATTTTCCGTTAACATCAGTTCTGAAGTTGAAATCACACAATAATTCCTCTTAAGTTTAACATACTGGGTGGATGAAGCCAGCGCTAAACATTGAAGCTTTTTATAAGGCAGATGCATGTGATAACAACAGTGCCTTCTATAACTGGGGACACTAAAATAAGCAGTCATGTAATGTACAATGATGTAGTGTACTGGAATTGGCTGGCTTGGCATTGAACACAACTGTCAGTAAGGTACGTGTGTACTGTGAGTGTTCCAATAGTTTGTAGTTGTGAATGGTACGGCCAGCTTCTACACATGCATTCACATTAGTTCTTTGTCTTATCCTTCAATGCTAATAAAACATGTTTATGCCAAGATATAATCATGGCAGTATTTATCATTTTAATTTGCATTTAAAGCGAGTGGACTGCTTATAAATAAAAATAAATAAACAAAAATTAAGTATGTGTGTGAGAAAGAGATAGTTGAGAGAGTATGTGTATGAATGTGTGTATTAGAATGTCTATCATTTTGGTTATCATTGGGCTATGATTACATGTTCTCAAATGTACTATGTCTCGATATTTTATTATAACACTATTAAACATACGTTTTATTAATTAACAAAATGGTCTGAGCAAACGTCCTTTGTTTATTGTGTATTAGAATGTCTATGTATGAGTGTGTGTATGTGCGTGTGCGTGTGTGTGTGTGTGTGTGTAAGAATATGTGTGTGTAAATGTTTTTTGGGGGGTGAGTGGTATGGGAACACTTCCCAAAGTCTGCGCCTACATCCACATTATAGTGTTACTCCCAGCACGTTGACCACTCCAGTGATTTGAAGGAGTCATGGTGCTTGGAGTCTGTATGTGCAGTGTTTCAGACTGAAACATAAAGAGTTTGCAACTCCATTTCCACAGCTAGTCCAGAAATCTTCTTCAGTATCTTTCATCAGCATGCGTAGTATGGTGGCAACAGAAGGCCACTAGTAGCATTGCCCCACATGCGACCCAATTCCTTCTTCAGCACATGCGTTTTTATTATGCTTATTAACGATATTTAATTATGTAGGTGGTGTTGTTAAGCTCAGTTTTTGGCAGGGATGACGGCAATGCAATGTTTTTTATGTGAGTGGTGCTTGACCAATTTCAAAATTGAGATAGGGATCAAATCCCACTTGAAACAGAGCAGATACTACATTTCTAATTTTGAGGAACAAAAATACATAATCTTAGAGAAAGGAATAAATAAACAGAGCACTCTCCACCTAGAGCAAATAGTTAAACATCCTCCCCGATAAGCAGCACAGACAGCTGCCTAGGGACTGGAACAGACCAGTGAGCCTCTGTCTAGACCTGAAGCACCAGCACTGGTTGTGAGAGGGCTTCCTTGGACCGGCAAGAAGATCAATAGATCTCCCTGCTCGATCCTGTGCTCCCTCACCTGCTCGAAGGGAGCTTTGTGATCTGCACCCATGGTCCTGAGAGAGGTGCACAATGCTCCTCCACAACCCATACCTTCAGTGATCTTGCTCCCCAGGATGTCCCCCAATAGACCACCAGGGATCTTGTCAAGTATGGCCTACACTGGGCCATCAGGGAGTACACCTCCTGCTGCAGCAAGGTAAGCAGAAGGGGGGCAAACTAAAAAAACAAATAGAAACACAGAAACATAGAATGTGACGGCAGGTAAGAACCATTCGGCCCATCTAGTCTGCCCAATTCTCACAGATGTACGGTCTAAATGCATTCTACATTCTACATAATCCCATAATGCATTGCAGAGTTTCAACCAGTGTATTATGGAATGACCTCTGACATTATGGCATTGACATCATATTGGAGGGGTGTGGGGGAGGGAACATATAAAAATAAATCTATAAATTCATTGGAAATTGATTAACACAATATACAGTATAATTTACTTCTGAACGAAGGAGAACTTAATAATTTGAGGGCAAACTTTAAATCTCAGTACTCTTTGATTTTAAGTGTCATTAATTTGTTTTTAGGTTTTGGGAGAAACAGATACCCCCAAGCATGTCAGCATTAGTCTGCTACTCATTCAGCCCATGTATAGCCCTTGATAAAATCTTTCAACCAACATGTGCTCTCTAAAAGAGTGAAATTTTCATAATTTGTGAGAGAAGACTTGAACAATTTGCAGGAACTATTTCAGCAAAATGGTACGCAGGTTTTATAATAAAACAATGCTATTTATAAGAATTTGTAATGTTTGTTTTCTACAGCTTAATTTAAACATGATACAGGACATGTCCTCAAATGGCTCATTACAGAAAACGGTCTTCTTAGGAAAGAGAAAATGACATCACCGCACACACGCGTTAAACCACCTGCGTTGCCACCCACTTTGTTAAAAGAGGGCTATCTACATCTGATTCCTTTTAATCCCTTTTAAATACTGTCTATCTCATAACTTAATTACTGGGATTTGGATTAAGTAACCGTACACGTGTACGGTATATTTAGCTATCTAGTACTCCTATAGACTTTGTGTTACATGTTTCTATGATTTCACCATATTCCATTATAAAGTAGGTTTTCAAGTTATAATCATTGAAAACTTTCAGTCATTAGAGTGTGAGAAGAATGAGCCATACCTAACATTACACATATCTCTAAACATTGTTGAGTTATAAAACTGAGATGGTAGAGGGCATGTCGGGCCAGAGTGAGGGTATGCACTATGCAGTGATGGAATTTACATAATTGGTGGCCAAAATACCCATACAGTAAAATCAGTTGCCTGGCCAAAACCAGGAGTCTGTATTATTATTTTGTAATATTTTATAATATTATGATTATAATGCAGGTTGAAAAAACCCTGATGGATTTCGTTATTGGTGATTCTCATAAAGGGTGAATTTACCTGGAAAGGGGACAGGTCCACTGTATAAAGGGGCATTTCAGTCTGGCATGAACAGGCCACCAACACCACGCAGAAGGTACTGCTGAAATTAGTACTAGTGACAAGAGCAAGTTCAAATGAAATCCTTATAATTTTCAACAAGGATTTGCTTGGCTGAAGGTGATGAGAGTTACCGTACACGGAATCTCCTATGCACATCATTACGAATATTGCAGTAGTCACACCCTGCTCCTATGAATAGGGGACTTTTACAATATTGCTGTGAAGACAATTGCCATTTTTAAAGAACTATATTTTTGTATGTGGATTACAACAGGTGATACAGATTTTATAATCACTTATGTATAACAAATAATTTTTTTAATTTAATATCTCTTTACTATAGTTTTATTTTGTATACAAAAAACATTTGAAAACCACATGTATATATTAAAAGCATACAATTATGCATTGATTTACATATATTACAATTAATAATTACATCAATTACATCAATTCATCTCCTGAAAATGCATATTGTGTTACCCACACCGAAAAAAAAACCCAAATAACAAATATTAAATATTAACACATTGTTAATATCACATAAGGTATTTAACCCTTACATTTTGCTTAAATATTGCATTGTTAAAGTAAACTCTGAAAACTCTATAATTTAAAGGAGCTGTATGGTACCTTGTTAATGGACAGCAGATAAACGCAGAATTGTCTTGCTGACAACATGATGAAAGCCTGCTGCGTGAATTAATGCTAGCATCCTGTACTTCAGATTACAAACATTGCAGAATATTGGTACTCTGTGGGTGGTAAAAGTATGGGTGGTATGACCCCAATAAACACTTCGGCAAATTCCTCTAATTAACTCTTTGACTGCTGGAGAGACATAAGTGAACATGGTCTGCCCTCTTTCCCTGTTATTGAAAGGCATAAAACAATCACTTAATGTATATATTGTGAATATAGACAACATAATCTATGTTTGTACTAGTACGGTAGTAAAAAAAAATATCTGGCTTCAGATGACCACCTAGTGGCGCAATAAAAAAGAAAATATTTAGAAATCTATTTCTTTCTATCTATTTATCTATATCTATCCAGGGAAAAAAACATTTGGCTTGGTCTAACCATTTTCTAAAAATTATTAAAAAAAATTCAAAACTTTTATTTCATTTGATGATAGAATAATTTAAAGTGCTTTATTCGCTACAAACCTTAATGTAGTGATACAGAAAATGTGTAAACCAGGGGTGCCCAGAAGGTAGATCCCCAGATGTTGTAGAACTACAACTCCCTTGATGCTTTGCATGCTTTTAGAATGTCTTTTGAATGACTATGCATTGTGGAAGCTGTAGTTTTAAAACATCTGGGGATCAACCTATTGGGCACCCCTGTTGTAAACTAATTATAAAGTTCAGGTTAAAATAGTCAACCCGTGACTATTGCTGGCTGGCGATTATTTCCAAATATTTGGCTAAATTTTGCAATACAGCTGCCAGTGGCTTGTTACTACAATTAATATTTTAATGAATAAACCACTAAGTGATGACAGAGTAATTCATTAAACTCTAAACTGTCCAAAATCCGACATGAATTTTAAATTTTGGGCAAAAAATAATGTGCCCATTTGAAATATATACTAAATTTGAAGCACACTATTGTAATGCCTCTTTTCAAATGGGTAACATCTTATAAGATCATATTAGTGCTGCAAGTTATAAACAATACTCCAGGTTCAGTATGGAAATTCTATTATGCTTTATGTGAGCACCTCTAGCACAGAACACTATGTGCTGTGCCCCCTAGCCTCCTTCCTGCAGCCTGGGATTAGGTAGCTGCTGGGAGGGGCAATTCCTTTCTCTGCCCCACACAAAGGAGAAGGGGCGGGGACAGGACTGCCAGGGGGAGAGAGAGCGAGAGAGGGGAGGAAGGAACACACAGAGAGGGAGCAATGATAGGAGGTCAGAAGGCGGAGAGAAGGGGGGCAGCTCCGGGACATGGAGAGGCTCCACTGAGGGGGAGAGGTGATTGATTGGGCATTGGTTTCCAGTAGCCGGGAGCAGCTGAGAGTGATGGGCCCCTGAGTCCCGCTATGGAGAAGAATGTAGGAGAGGATGACTGCGAGGACTCTGGAGCAGAGACAGGAGGGTAGGTACTGTGTGAGTGACATACATCCTCCCTGATACACACTGGGGCAATTAATGTAGTTATACAGTGTGAGAGCTCAGCATCCTCCCTGATACACACTGGGGCAATTAATGTAGTTATACGGTGTGTGAGAGCTCAGCATCCTCCCTGATACACACTGGGGCAATTAATGTAGTTATACAGTGTGTGAGAGCTCAGCATCCTCCCTGATACACACTGGGGCAATTAATGTAGTTATACAGTGTGTGAGAGCTCAGCATCCTCCCTGATACACACTGGGGCAATTAATGTAGTTATACAGTGTGTGAGAGCTCAGCATCCTCCCTGATACACACTGGGGCAATTAATGTAGTTATACAGTGTGTGAGAGCTCTGCATCCTCCCTGATACACACTGGGGCAATTAATGTAGTTATACAGTGTGTGAGAGCTCAGCATCCTCCCTGATACACACTGGGGCAATTAATGTAGTTATACAGTGTGTGAGAGCTCTGCATCCTCCCTGATACACACTGGGGCAATTAATGTAGTTATACAGTGTGAGAGCTCAGCATCCTCCCTGATACACACTGGGGCAATTAATGTAGTTATACAGTGTGAGAGCCAAGCATCCTCACTGATACACACTGGGGCAATTAATGTAGTTATACAGTGTGTGAGAGCTCAGCATCCTCACTGATACACACTGGGGCAATTAATGTAGTTATACAGTGTGTGAGTGCACTGCATCCTCACTGATACACACTGGGGCAATTAATGTAGTTATACAGTGTGAGAGCTCAGCATCCTCCCTGATACACACTGGGGCAATTAATGTAGTTATACAGTGTGAGAGCTCAGCATCCTCCCTGATACACACTGGGGCAATTAATGTAGTTATACAGTGTGAGAGCCCAGCATCCTCACTGATACACACTGGGGAAATTAATGTAGTTATACAGTGTGTGAGAGCTCAGCATCCTCACTGATACACACTGAGGAAATTAATGTAGTTATACAGTGTGAGAGCTCAGCATCCTCCCTGATACACACTGGGGCAATTAATGTAGTTATACAGTGTGTAAGAGCCCTGCATCCTCACTGATACACACTGGGGCAATTAATGTAGTTATACAGTGTGAGAGCTCAGCATCCTCCCTGATACACACTGGGGCAATTAATGTAGTTATGCAGTGTGTGAGAGCTCAGCATCCTCCCTGATACACACTGGGGCAATTAATGTAGTTATACAGTGTGAGAGCCCTGCATCCTCACTGATACACACTGGGGCAATTAATGTAGTTATACAGTGTGAGTGACATACATCCTCCCTGATACACACTCGGGCAATTAATGTAGGTATACAGTGTGTGAGAGCTCAGCATCCTCCCTGATACACACTGGGGCAATTAATGTAATTATACAGTGTGTGAGAGCTCAGCATCCTCCCTGATACACACTGGGGCAATTAATGTAGTTATATAGTGTGTGAGCTCAGCATCCTCCCTGATACACACTGGGGCAATTAATGTAGTTATTTAGTGTGAGAGCTCAGCATCCTCACTGATACACACTGGGGCAATTAATGTAGTTATACAGTGTGTGAGTGCACTGCATCCTCACTGATACACACTGGAGCAATTAATGTAGTTATACAGAGTGAGAGCTCAGCATCCTCCCTGATACACACTGGGGCAATTAATGTAGTTATACAGTGTGAGAGCCCAGCATCCTCACTGATACACACTGGGGCAATTAATGTAGTTATACAGTGTGTGAGAGCTCAGCATCCTCACTGATACACACTGGGGCAATTAATGTAGTTATACAGTGTGAGAGCTCAGCATCCTCCCTGATACACACTAGGGGAATTAATGTAGTTATACAGTGTGAGAGCTCAGCATCCTCCCTGATACACACTGGGGCAATTAATGTAGTTATGCAGTGTGTGAGAGCTCAGCATCCTCCCTGATACACACGGGGGCAATTAATGTAGTTATACAGTGTGAGAGCCCTGCATCCTCACTGATACACACTGGGGCAATTAATGTAGTTATACAGTGTGAGTGACATACATCCTCCCTGATACACACTCGGGCAATTAATGTAGGTATACAGTGTGTGAGAGCTCAGCATCCTCCCTGATACACACTGGGGCAATTAATGTAATTATACAGTGTGTGAGAGCTCAGCATCCTCCCTGATACACACTGGGGCAATTAATGTAGTTATACAGTGTGAGAGCTCAGCATCCTCCCTGATACACACTGGGGCAATTAATGTAGTTATATAGTGTGTGAGCTCAGCATCCTCCCTGATACACACTGTGGCAATTAATGTAGTTATTTAGTGTGAGAGCTCAGCATCCTCACTGATACACACTGGGGCAATTAATGTAGTTATACAGTGTGTGAGTGCACTGCATCCTCACTGATACACACTGGAGCAATTAATGTAGTTATACAGTGTGTGAGAGCTCAGCATCCTCACTGATACACACTGGGGCAATTAATGTAGTTATACAGTGTGAGAGCTCAGCATCCTCCTTGATACACACTGGGGCAATTAATGTAGTTATACAGTGTGTGAGAGCTCAGCATCCTCCACTGATACACACTGGGGCAATTAATGTAGTTATACAGTGTGTGAGAGCTCAGCATCCTCCCTGATACACACTGGGGCAATTAATGTAGTTATACAGTGTGTGAGAGCTCAGCATCCTCCCTGATACACACTGGGGCAATTAATGTAGTTATACAGTGTGAGAGCTCAGCATCCTCCTTGATACACACTGGGGCAATTAATGTAGTTATACAGTGTGTAAGAGCTCAGCATCCTCCCTGATACACACTGGGGCAATTAATGTAGTTATACAGTGTGTGAGAGCTCAGCATCCTCCCTGATACACACTGGGGCAATTAATGTAGTTATACAGTGTGAGAGCTCAGCATCCTCACTGATACACACTGGGGCAATTAATGTAGTTATACAGTGTGTGAGTGCACTGCATCCTCACTGATACACACTGGAGCAATTAATGTAGTTATACAGTGTGTGAGAGCTCAGCATCCTCACTGATACACACTGGGGCAATTAATGTAGTTATACAGTGTGAGAGCTCAGCATCCTCCTTGATACACACTGGGGCAATTAATGTAGTTATACAGTGTGTGAGAGCTCAGCATCCTCACTGATACACACTGGGGCAATTAATGTAGTTATACAGTGTGAGAGCTCAGCATCCTCCCTGATACACACTGGGGCAATTAATGTAGTTATACAGTGTGTGAGAGCTCAGCATCCTCCCTGATACACACTGGGGCAATTAATGTAGTTATACAGTGTGAGAGCTCAGCATCCTCCCTGATACACACTGGGGCAATTAATGTAGTTATACAGTGTGTGAGAGCACAGCATCCTCACTGATACACACTGGGGCAATTAATGTAGTTATACAGTGTGTGAGAGCTCAGCATCCTCCCTGATACACACTGGGGCAATTAATGTAGTTATAGTGTGTGAGCTCAGCATCCTCCTCACTGATACACACTGGGGCAATTAATGTAGTTATACAGTGTGTGAGAGCTCAGCATCCTCCACTGATACACACTGGGGCAATTAATGTAGTTATACAGTGTGTGAGAGCAGCATCCTCACTGATACACACTGGGCAATTAATGTAGTTATACAGTGTGTGAGAGCTCAGCATCCTCACTGATACACACTGGGGCAATTAATGTAGTTATACAGTGTGAGAGCTCAGCATCCTCCTGATACACACTGGGGCAATTAATGTAGTTATACAGTGTGAGAGCTCAGCATCCTCCCTGATACACACTGGGGCAATTAATGTAGTTATACAGTGTGTGAGAGCTCAGCATCCTCACTGATACACACTGGGGCAATTAATGTAGTTATTCAGTATGAGAGCTCAGCATCCTCCTTGATACACACTGGGGCAATTAATGTAGTTATACAGTGTGAGAGCTCAGCATCCTCCCTGATACACACTGGGGCAATTAATGTAGTTATACAGTGTGAGAGCTCAGCATCCTCCCTGATACACACTGGGGCAATTAATGTAGTTATACAGTGTGTGAGAGCACAGCATCCTCACTGATACACACTGGGGCAATTAATGTAGTTGATACACACTGGGGCAGTATGAGAGCTCAGCATCCTCCCTGATACACAATGGGGCAATTAATGTAGTTATACAGTATGAGAGCTCCATCCTCCTGATACACACTGGGGCAATGCAAGCAGTGTATGTACTGCAATGTAAGAGCTTTTCATCTTTTAGTACAATGCATGGCACCTATACCTCTCAGTATATCTACCTAAATATAAATCAACATTCAGTTATCTGCACCTCTGCCTTTATATAGAGATACACGAAAATGTACATTTCAGGTGTTTTGTGTAATCCCAGCAACTTTCCAATTGAGCATGTTCTGTTATCCCTATCTATAAAGCATAATTTACTTACATTACTCTGTTATCCCTATCTATAAAGCACAATTCACTTACATTACTACAGCAAGACTTACCTGTATAGGCTGTCAGGTGCCCACAGTTTGCAACATACATTGTAAGATGTTCTTTGGCTTGAAATACTATAACCATTAATATCATGTGAGAGGATATTATCCAAGGGCTATTTAACCCTCAGGTGCCAGGGTGTTAAACCACTGATTTCTGAGTCAGTCCTAGAAAGGGTTAATTAATATAAACAGGTTCACTGTTTGCTGTTGAGGAATCTGTCACTGTCAGTGAGAGAGATAACTAAGATACATTGATTTGCCTTATAAACAGTGGGATGCTTTTATAAACAGTGATCTTAATGAGAGCTACATGACCCAGGGATGTGCAGTCTGATACAGAAAGTTTTTTTTTTTTTTAAGATAAAAATGTCTTGTCTCATTTTAAAGGAACATTGCATTGGGTTTAAATTATAAAAAAAAAAAACAGTAATTATATTTTTACTTATTTTCAAAACGCGCATTTTAAAAATATTGAGGCATTTTAAAATTTGCTTTGTTTTGGTTTTTTTTTAAGGTAGGAAAGTGAGGCTTTGGGATAATTATATGGTATCTGGTTTCAGAGTTACAAAAAGTAATAACACTAGATTGTTGGTCACTATGGCTACAATTCAAAGTTAATGAATATAATCAAAGGTGGCTTGCAGCTTAATATATAGCTTTTATCATCTGAAGGCAGGCATGATGATCCATTAAGCAACAAGGAATTTATTCACTAAACAAGCACATTGTATTGAACTGAAAATAATTTGCAGTTCAGCTATAGTCAACGCTAGGTTTTTTTAGCCACCTTCTTAGTCCAGTGTTTAAGTACTTTATTTCTTTGTTTAGTAAATGAATCCTTCAGTTTCATATTTTCATCAATTCATGCTTCCCTATTCAAGCCATAAATGTCAGTACTTTAATTGATAACTAAGCTAAATAGTCAAAGTGCCACTTTCAATTTGAGTTTGCCTAGGGCTAGGCAATTGGTGTAGATGTGAGGACATTACGAATTATGTGATTACAAGTCCCATCAAAATCAGTTCAGTTGCCCATCCCACTGTTGCACTGGACCATTGCTGAATCTTGGCTCATATTCTACCTCCTTCACTCTAGTCAAACTTGGATGGCTGCAGGTAGTGGGAGCTGTAGGTGTGTAATTTAACCTATGCAGTGGTCTGTGGAGTCCACCATCAGGTATGCCTGACCTCTTGTCACAATGGGGTTAAAGCGGGGGGAAAAACTGCTTTTCTTTCAAGTTATTTATTTTTTCTTGAATGTATAGACCGGAAGCTTCATTGTATATTCCTGTTAAGTTTGATCAGTATTTTTAATATAACTTTATTCAATAATGTCATGTTTAACATGAGAATTTGTTATTTTTTAATGCGATAAAACCTTGTAACATAAATCTGCAATTTAAAGGAAAAGTATTATGAACTATATACATGAAGTATATATTTTGCTGACTGAGATAATTTAATGAGACAAGCCACTCTAGAGACTTTGCCACCTCATAAAGTGAATACAGTTACCTGACTGAATCCAGATATTTGTATTATAAAGGTCATTCGGCCTACGCTTACGTCCTCGTGAGTACATAGTGCACTCCCATCCTTCTCTCCTAATGTCCCCATGAATTTATTTACGTTTCACGGTGACAAAATTATTTCTTGTATTAGAAAACGGATTCTCTCTGGACCTGGAATAAGATACTGTGAATTTCACGTTCCACTATTGCGTGCAATTGCCATAGCAAACTGTTTGTAAAAAATTATACAGCTATTCTCTCCCAGCACTAAACGAAATGTTGCAGTAATTGCTTTATATCTCTGTAATACAATTATCAGATTAACAACTCACAAAATGGTAAAATTGTTTATACAGGAACAGGACCTTCCTTTTCGATTGATTCTGTTTACACCGATTTGTTTGTGCTTATTTTATTTCCCTATTATAAAAATCTGCTGTGTGTGTTGATGTTATGTAAATGAAACAGGTGATCGGTTCTTGATATAGGCATCAAAATAAACACGTATAGATTTCTCCATGGTCTTTTCACCGGTTTAAAAATGGTTCATGGTTTTTAAATGTATTCTTAATTTATTTATTATTCTACTTTTGTTTTTTTCTTACCGAGTGCCAAAATATTACACTGCATTTCAAAATGATTGTTGATAATTATCGTTCTTTCATTGCAAATCAAAAAAGAACAAAAAGAGAAATCTTGTTTCTTAAAGGAATAGCTCATTAAATACAACTTTCAGCCCATCTGGAGTTAATTAAAAGTAAATCTGATAAAACTCATTTCATTCACCCACTGCACAGTGCTGCGGAATATATTGGTGCTTTACAAATAGCAAATCATTCTAAGAATTACAACAACAACAACAACAAAAAAATAATAATAATTACATTTATATTTAAATCTGCATATTTTATGTACATGTTTGCTAACTGTGCAAAATCCATCAGACAGTCCCAATTTTACACCATTATCCCACTTGCCATTTTGTTTCCCTGTCAATCTACGTGATACCAATACCTTTTTACCCTGGTTAGCTACCTTGATGGGCATCGTAACAAGTCCGACTCTTTACAGCTGTGTCCATCGCCTAACTCATTCAAATTGTTACCTCCCGACACCATACTTGTCTTAACAAAGGATGCACATTAGCATGAAGCAAGAAAAAATCAGAAGTGAGTTTCTCTTTGCTGCTAAATTACTGATATACTTATTTTTTTGACCATGTTTGTAATGCATGCAGTAACAAGGAGGGCTAGCTCATTCCTGAAGTATCTCGTTTAAATACTACATTTGAAAGAATTAGTGTTTTAAGATTTCTCTTCTGCAAAGATTATTTTTTCAAAACCATTCTAAAGTATACAATTAATGTCACCAATGTAAATAGGAATCCCCAGAGCAGAATCTCCATCATTGGAGAAAATGCTCCAGGGAACGAAATCTCTATAGTTATAGTTTCCCCTAGAGATAAAAAGTGACAATGAAGCAATAAAATATAAAGTGCACCTGTCATATTGGTGCTTAAAGCAGTTTTGTATCCAGCACAAAAAAGTAGCTGTTCCCTGTTTTCATTTGTTAATTTTCACATGGGGTTCAGCTATATATTTATTTTTGTATAAAATCTGATTTAGAAATAGGCACAGTGTCTGTGGTCTTCCCTGCTTCTGTGCTGGGAGTGAAGCAAGAAAGACCATATAGACCAGGCCTATCCAACCTGCGCCCCCCCCCACCCCCCCCAGATGTTGCTGAACTACAACTCCCATGATTCTTTCAATTAAACAGATAGCCAGGGAATCATGGGAGTTGTAGTTCAGCAACATCTGGGGGGGCCGCAGGTTGGACAGCCCTGATATAGACTGTCGGTTTTCAAACACTGTCTTACCCAAGGTGTATATATATGGCTGAAAGATCCTGTCCTATACTAAAGGTAGTCAGTGGCGTACCTACCTACCCTCACCTCAGGGGGCCCGGCCGCAGCCACAACCCCAGCCACCGTGGGCTGCCTGCATATTTCTAGGCTGGTGCACAGCCGCACCGGCCCAGGTCTGCGGTTCCCGTGTGTCTGGCAGGAGGGGAGAGCATCATGCCTGTGTGTAGCGTGGCCAAGTGGTCTGACAGGAAGTGCTCACTGTAAGAGCACTTCCTGTCAGACCGGGAACCACGGCGAGAAGCAGATACAGGAGTGGGGAGAAATGGAGGAATGGGACACAGGGAGTGTCACGGCAAGGGTGTATAATTTATTATTACACTATGGAATATCATCTTTTAATGTAATTTGTGTAGTAAATAGCACAAATTACAGAGATGCTATTGCTGAGGTCAACAGGGGTTACATCTTTTGAAGCTGGGACCCCCACAGACAGGCCCGGACTGGCCATCGGGCACACTGGGCAAATGCCCGGTGGGCCGCGGTGGCCGTGGGGCCGAGGCCAGCAGGGGAGGTCACAGGATCTCCCCTGCCGGTCTATGCAGGGCCGGCGCTGTCCGAGCGCCGGCCCCGCTGTCTTCCATGGAGGGCCGGTGGGGAGATCAAAGATCCCTCACCGGCCCACATGCTCAAACGCGGCCGCCGGCGGGGGGAGAGGGAGGGAGACAGCCGCCAGGAGAGAGGACCCGGCGGAGCTCTAACTTGCAGCTCCGCCGGGATTCTCTCGCGAGATCCGGACCGTTGCTATGGCAACTGGCCGGGTCTCGCGAGAGTGAACTCTAGCCCCAAAGGGCTAGAGTTCACTTACCACGAGGACCACCAGGGATGGCTGGCAGGAGCACGACCCCCCCCCTTCCAGGCTACAGGTAAGAATAGAGGGAGGGAGGAGAAGGGGGGGGGATATAATGTATTTATTTTTATTATTTATTATTATGTATTTATTTTTATTATTATTATTTATTATTATTATTATTTATTATTATGTATTTATTTTTATTATTTATTATTATTATTTATTATTATGTATTTATTATTATTTTTTAGTAAAACATTAATAGTGCCATTTACCTGCCTCCCCCCAATACAAAATCCTTGCAAACACACACATCACCCTCACCCAGCACCCTAACACATACACAGCACCCTAACACACACACACAGCACCCTAACACCAGCACCCTAACATTGACACAGCACCCTAACACACACACAGCACCCTAACACCAGCACCCTAACATTGACACAGCACCCTAGCACACACACAGCACCCTAACACCAGCACCCTAACATTGACACAGCACCCTAACACCAGCACCCTAACATTGACACAGAACCCTAACACACACACAGCACCCTAACACCAGCACCCTAACATTGACACAGCACCCTAACACACACACAGCACCCTAACACCAGCACCCTAACATTGACACAGAACCCTGCACCCACACAGCACACACTAGCACACAGCACCCTAACATTGACACACACCCTAACACACACAGCACCCTAACACACACACAGCACCCTAACACTCACACAGCACCCTAACACACACACAGCACCCTACCACACCCTAACAGCACCCTAACATTGACACAGCACCCTAACACACACACAGCACCCTAACACCAGCACCCTAACATTGACACAGAACCCTAACACACACAGCACCCCAACACACACACAGCACCCTAACACAGCACCCTAACATTGACACATCACCCTAACACACACACAGCACCGTAGCACTCACACAACACCCTAACACACACACAGCACCCCAACACACACACACACACACAGCACCCTAACACCAGCACCCTAACATTGACACAGCACCCTAACACACACACACAGCACCCTAACACCAGCACCCTAACATTGACACAGCACCCTAAAACACACACAGCACCCTAACACATACAGCAACCTAGCACACACACACACCACCCCAACACATACACAGCACACACAGCACCCCAACACACACAGCACCCCAACACACATCACCCTCACACACACACACATCACCCTCAAATACACAGAACCCACACACAGCACCCTCACACACAGCACCCTCACACACAGCACCCTCACACACAGCACCCTCACACACACATACTGCACCCCCCCACACAAACAGCACCTTCCCACACACACTATACTCCTCACAAATGCACAATACACCCCTCACACACACAGCACCCCCCAAACACACTGCGCCAGTCACACACTCACTAGATCTCCTATACGCACTCCTGAGTCCTTCAAACACACACTAGATCCCCTACACACAGACGCTGCACCACTTATACACAGACTACATTTCTGACATACACACTCAGGATCCCCTATGAACACACTAGATATCCTTTAAGCAAACACATAGTGTCTCCATAAATGGGATACATTGAGTATTCCAATTACGGAAACCCCTGAGACAAGTTTCAAGCAAACACAATGCAAGCATGTTATTAAATTTTCTTGCGCTGTGCAGATCAAATACAGGGCCCTTTTCTCATGCCCTGGAAGAGCATTGAACCAACATGCTCACTTTGAGATGGGGCGTGCTTGTCATTGGGGATGACAAAACACAACCTATCTGGCCCTGCCCCCTTTTCAGTGGGCCGCTGTAATTAAAAATGCCCTGGCCGAATTTTTTCCCCAGTCCGGCCCTGCCCACAGAGGTCAGATGACAGAAGGGGTAGTGTGAATGGCATAAGGATGTGAAAAGGATTTTACTATATGGATGTGAAGTAATCAAGGTTTTGCAAGGTGTAAGGTTCTACACTTGGAAAAAGTCTGAATGTCTCTTCATCCATTTGGCATATACCTTGTAAAGGATAGTTCAATCATTTGAAATGGTAATGGGATTCGTTTCATGAAGATCCTTGTGTTCCAGTATCTTATCCAAGTGAAACATTCATACTTACCCACAGGTTAATAATTAAGCCTCATTTTTATTATATTTGGAATGGGACAAGCCCAATCTTTTAATTAAGCCCAAACATGAGTTGCACAACTTAAACCATGTGGCAGGACTTGTGATGTCCGTCCTATTGGATCGTGGGTGGGGCGTGCAACATGTCTTTGGAATGGGAAAACAATAACAAATTCATAGAGGCAATTATTATTTCTGTGGCAAGTACAGTAGAGGAGATAAAACCAAAAGTTTGTATGTGGGTTGTTGGTTTCTGGAACAAAGGAGGTGGTCACTTAGTATCCCTATTGCTCCACCCCTGGGTGAGGCATGGCAATTCACAGGGTATATCTCCTGTGATTCTGAAGGGTGTTTGTGTACTTGCTTGGGGCCAAAATCTAATTTTGAGTAAGTCACCATCTTTCCTTGCCAGAGACCCCCTGGACAGAAGTTGTACTTTGAAAACCTAAGTGAGTAATTAGGACTTCTGTATTTTATCCTTTTTGTTTTTATCTGTTGTTGGTGTAAATAATTTGTTTATCATATATTTTTATATGCACCGTGACTATCTTTTGCTCATAATAAACATTTATTTATTAAGTTTTGCCTTTGTCTGGTTAAGAATCACGTTACCTGAAGAGACCAGTTAGTATTTTTATAATTCCTTAAATATTGTGCTAAGTAATATTTGGTGGGTTTTATTATTGATTTACCTGGGGGACCAAGGCACCCCATTTATAAATTGTCTTGGTGGTGGCAGCGTTAAAATAGTAATAGTTATATTATTATGTTTAAGTGTGGGTGGTGTTAAAGGGGGATTTTGTCATTATTTCCGGTCTAGTGCAGACAAATAGTGAACTTTAACCCTTTCACAACCACAACTACGTCACGCACACTCTTGGAGTAGTGTGTGTTCGTGACAGGGAGGGGTTAGAGGGAATGGGACATGGGTTGGGGGGGAGGTTACGAGACACACTGAGGGGGGGAGGGAATGGGACACATGGAGGGGCTGGTGGGGAAGAGGGCATGGGACATATGAAGGAGTTGAGGGGGAGAGGTAATAGAACGCATGGAAAGGCTTTTGGGTTAAGTGAATGAGACACATGGGGTGGTCTGGGGGTGGGTATGAGACACCTGGAGTAGTTGGGGGGAGGGAATTAGACACATGGGAGGGGTGGGCCCAGGGCAATTTTTGCCCCGAAGCCCGGTGTTTTCTACTTACGCCTCTGAAGGTAGTGATGAGTTTTTCCTCATTTTTTTCATTTTTACAATTGTCCTGCCATTGTATGACAATATCCAGATATGCCGTTATCAATTTTGGGATGTCTGTGTCTTAGGATGTCATGATAACCTTTCTGGTACCAGTTATCCTGCTCATCAGTTGCATATTTTTTTTAATAAATTCGTGTTTCCCAATCTCATTTCCCAAAGCAGAAAAAAAGTTCAGAATTCAGTCCAGAAAAAAAATCTGGCAAAGCCTCTCCTTCACTCACTAACTAAATGATCTATGCCTCTAACTTTTTTTTTTTTTTTTTTAATCTTAAAGAGTTTAAAAGTAGGACTGGCGTGTCATGGCATAGGCTTATTTAAAATAGTTATTTTTATTTTAATGAATATTAAATAAATACTCCAGGTACCATAAACACTTCAATCTACTGTGGTGGCTATGGTGTCAATGATGCCCTGGCATCCTTCCAGAGTAAGCAATCAAACAATTTAGGAATGGTTAGATAAGTTCCCTGGGTCTTGCCTGACGCCTACCAACACCTCTTTGCTGTCTGAATTTCTCTCACCAAGCTGGTTGTACAGGCCCATGCTCAACTGTTGTTCTCAGCCAATGATTGCAACTCTGCAACACAGACTTAGCTCATTGAAGATAACTGAAGCTCATCCTTATTTACCCACATGGGGACTGCAATCAGAAGTACTAGACTCTGAACATGGCATAGGCTCACACGAGCACCAGCTCACTGAATAGTTATGATGTATTTTTACAAGTTTTGCTATATGTATTTTTGTTTTGTGTTTTTCATATGTTAAAAGGCTTAAAAAAAAAAAAGATAACTCAAGCTCTTTTCAAGAGCTTCCAGAACCAGTGGAACTAGTGGTGGGCAGCAGACTAGACCCAGGTAAGTGTCAAACCATTCTTAAAAGACCACTATAGGCACCCAGACCACTTCAGCTTAATGAAGTGGTCTGGGTGCCAGGTCCCTCTAGGATTAACCCTTTCTGCTGTAAATATAGCAGTTTTAGAGAAACTACTATGTTTACAAATGGGTTAATCCAGCCTCCAGTGGCTGTCTCATTGACAGCCGCTAGAGGTGCTTCCGCGCTTCTCACTGTGATTTTCACAGTGAGAAGACACCAGCGTCCATAGGAAAGCATTGAGAATGCTTTCATATGGACTGGCTGAATGCAAGCGGCTCTTGCCGCGCATGCGCTTTCTGACGATGACGGCGAAGGAGGAGGAGAGTCCCCAGCGCCGAGGGATCTCGGCGCTGGAGAAAGGTGAGTGTTTAACCCCCTTCCTCCCCATAGAGCCTGGTGGGAGTGAGACCCTGAGGGTGGGGGCACCCTCAGGGCACTATAGTGCCAGGAAAACAAGTTTGTTTTCCTGGCACTATAGTGGTCCTTTAAACGATTTGACTTCTTACTCTAGGAGAGTTTTGAGACTCTCCCGGCACCATAACCACTACAGTCCACTGTAACTTATGGTGATTGGAATATTCCTCTAACTTAATTTTTATTTGTTACGAGTTTTTACTGTTTTGAAAATATATCTGGAAAATTGCTGGTTGTATGCTGTGTTCTGGAACAGTGTTCAGTTAATTCCTTCCAAACTTATTTCAGGCAAAGCCATTACTCCTGGGCAACAATTCATTTCAGTCTGAAATCCTCCTTTCTGTATTAATTATAAAATACCCTCGTGTTACCACATGTCCTTTACTTAGAGAAGCTGGTAGTCAGATTATTGGACCAAAATAGTGTCAGAATAATGAGAGAATCCGATAAGGGAAAACCCACAAAGGAGTGCAAATAAGCCAATTAGTTGACACAAGTGCAGACTCAGAGAAAACACATGGTAAATGTATTATCAGAGGAGAAATGATCTCATTCCATTCAAACATACATTTTCCTCCTGGTTTCTGTCTTCCCAAAATATTTTTTTATTAACCTTTTGAGTAATGGTAAGATGTGGAGTGCATTGGGACATAGCCATCTGGCAATCAGTGTGTTAATAACTTCGATGTTGATGATGACAGTTAAAAAATATATTGTACTGGAAAAACCTTAAAAATGAACAATATATACTAACACTATAGTCTGGAGTACCAGTTTAGGTCCCTGCATCCCCCTAAAATTTTATTTTTACTGACCTTTTGTCTATTGCCAAGCTGGTCTCGCTGCGGCTGGCCCTACCTCCATGGCTAAGATCATCAATCTTGACAATCTCCTTGTGGCATTGGGAGGCTATAGCAAGTGTCTCCGTAGGTGCAGCACTGGCATAGGAAGCACTACTAGTGGCCATCTGAGTTACTGCCACTAGTGTAAACACTTCGTTTTCTCTGAAACTGTATCATTTTCATTGCTCAGCCTGCAGGGACATGCTACAGACACCAGAACCACTACATTAAGCTGTAGTAGTTTTGTTACTATAGTGTCCCTTTAAACATTTTTTTAAATTCAATACATGAAATATATGGGTTGTACGCATTGCAGTATTATTTAAATAGTTTTTACTTGATAATGTGCTTTGTTGATTTTAAATAGTTAAGACATTAAAAAATTGCGAAAACAAACAATCCCCGAAAAATAAAAGTTGAAAAGATACGCACATCTGTAACTGTTGCATTTTCAAAAAATCCCCAGCCTGCAGTGTTCTGTATTGAGGCCAGGGTTGTGATCAGCCAGTCAGAATCTTCCAATAACTTCTCAATAAGTGTTGAAGATTAAATTGAAACTTCTTCGTATGATAAATTAGGGTTTTTTTTGGGGTGAACCTCACAGTTTTGTAAAACGGCTCGAAAACTGTTTGATAAAAAAAAAAAAAGCAGACATCAATAGCATCCGCACACCTTAACCAGCTCAGATGGTTTCTTTAAATATTATACAAAATAGAGGTTTTCTGTCAAAGAATCACTAAATGTACACCAAGAACCCTTGGACTGGCCTTGAATCTGACAATAAAATCTTGGTGTATCGTATTGGCAGAGATCCAACTTATCAAATTCCTCTGCGTACCAAACTGTAAAGTCAGTATATCTTCCAGTAATAAAACATGCTCTCTGTCAGTTTCCTTAATCATTGTGTGAATGTTTACAAGACCAGTAGAGTTCAGTGAATTCCTGCTTCCTACAAAGATATCATATTCCCATAGTCCTCTGCTTCTGAATCAAAATAGGTTGTTAATGTAATCTGTTGTAATTTCTTCATGCCTTAAACAGATCTGCTTTATATCTGTTAGGTAAAATGCTGAATACATTTGACGTCCGTTTTTGAAGTATGTTATATATTCATTTGGGAAAAACTGGGCAAAGGCAACAGGCTCAGACACTGATCCATCAAGGTTAAACAAAGGATTTGCTGAGTTTCCGATGTCTGTTTATAAGTTGAGTTAAAACGGCGTAACAAATTCAACTTTTCTGATTTTCACAGTAACGCATGAAGCATTGGTGGTGTATTTCTGGTACCTGTAGTGTTTACAGAACTACCAGTTTACAGACCAAAAACACTATTTAAAGGGACAATCCCGGGTGCATTTTGCCACCTGCGTTTTGACATTTCCTTATGGGAACATATAGAGCATAAATCATGTGTTATCGTGATGCCAAGTGCATGATTTTGTAAAAATGTGAGAGTCTTTTGAAGCAGTGAATTTATTTCAACCACCTCTGGGTTTTACTAAATACTGAATTTTTTTAAAGATAAATGTACATATGGTCATTATAATCGACGTGCCTTTTGGCAAGCGAATTGTAAAATTCGGGACTATTTTCCTGCTGGCAACAATAGTTGCAAGTGGATGTTTTAATATTCATGGGACGGGGGGGCAATTACAGTAATAGTAAGGGGGGGGGGGCTTGACAACTTAAAACCTGTAAAATAATTACTTTCTTTAAAAAAAATAAATACAGAACATCTCGAATAGAGTGCAAAGAAATTTTGAAAAACTGACGTATGAAAGCAATCTTCACTTGTGAATGGCTTCGTGCAGACTGAACATTCAAGACGAGAAATAGTCACTCTGGTTGGCTTGGAAGGCTTGCTTTGTTTTGTGTATATACACGTTATTGGACAAATCTTGTAACAGGTGAAACTTGACTGTCAGAATACTCTGATTGGTTGGCTTTTCAGACTAAAATTCTAAGTGTGGGAAGGCCTTTAAAAGTTCAGGAGAGCAACATAACAATGGCTTGGTGGAGATGATGTGTGCCATATTGCATTGGAGGTTGATGAATTGGGAGAATGTGGAACTTGGTACCAGGTAAAATAATTGGGACTTGGGCATACCATCTGTAAGGAGGGGCACCAATAGTATTTAAATATCAATAGGGCAGAAGCATGTTCATTTTGTGTTGCAATGGCTGAGGGAGACAGGGCCAGATTTCCCAAAAGGTTACCTTGGAATGCAGACAATCTGAGATAACGGCACTACCAATACTTGCACTCCCTGCTTGCCAAACTGAATGTCTGAGAGCTGTGGTAGTTCTGCGCATGAGCTATGCTGGCCAGGAGTATTGGTCCTTGTCAGGCAAGTGAGAGCACTGGCAAGAAGCTGTCCTTTGGGGTGAATGAGGACAGGATGTGGGCTCTGCGAGGGTGAGAGAGCCATAGTTTAAATACACCCAATTCTGCATATTTTAAAGAATCCAACCACATATTTCCTTGTGAGAGGTTCCTTCATAGTATGACGATAGGAGAGAGGGCATCATCTTTCATGGTGAACCCCAGAAGATGCCCCAGCTCTGTACTGGTGGAGGGGGACAACATCATGGGCCTTTGTTTGTTAGTTGGTGCTACCCATCTAACCCATTTTTTATTTTTATATATTTTTTTTATACCTCTCCACCCAATTTATTGAAGAGGCCCTATTTACACCAGCACATAAAAGACCCTATTACGCCCCCAACACACACAACAGCCCTTATCTCTCCTTTACCACACACCACAGCCACCAAACACACACAACAGCACCTATCAATCTCAAACACACATTGCAGCCCATATCTTCCCTGCGCACATACACTACAGCCACAATTTCCCCTTCCCCAAAGAGATACACCATAGCCCCATTAACCCCCACAAATCACAAAACACACACACTAAAGCTCCCATGCCCCTAAGCACACAAACTACAACCCCTAGCCCTCTAAACACACTGGGGTTTCTATTCAAGTACAGCCCCTATTCACATGTACACACATACAGCCACAAACAGCCCCCTCGCAACAGCACAAGCAGCATCTCCCCACATACAACCGCACAAGCAGCCCTCCCGAACTCACACAACCCCACATGCATCCACAGAAACAATGAACACCACAAGAGACCACATTGATTACCCCGCTAACATGCAACCTCATCAAGGAAACTGTCTTGGGGCAGCAAGGGGGTTAAATCTGGCCCTGGAGTTCTCTGTGTTTTGATGGTTTGAAGATTTGGGATTTTGGTGAGTAAGGGGAACATGGACTGCAGGCAGAACTTCATCCTTGGACTCAATTAGCTCAGTATTGTGGTATATAATGCAGTAAAATGAGTGGCAATCCCAACCTGGAGTGTTTCCTAAGAAAAAATATAAATAAATGTGACCATTATTCTGTCGTCACCATTTCTAAGCATATAAGACCATCTGATTAACTTTATTTTTTACCCTGCAGGTCAGATTACAGCCGCCTGTCCTCCACAAGCAGTAAGTATATTCTTGGGTAATTGTTTTTTTGTTTTTTTCTTCAAACATAAAAACCGTCTTTAATATAGTTGATGTTGTATATAATTGTAAAATCATTTTTTGACCAAGAACATGTTTGTGTTTTTATTAGTGTTTACAGAATCAGAAGTCAGAATTGGACATTAGTTATCACATATTTAGTTTTAAAAGATCAACGATTAATCCCTTTGGAATAGATTAAATGTCACAGTAAAATGTCTCGCAGGGTCACGAAGGGTTAAGGTAACACTCATTCACACTGACAGTTTGCATTATGCATGGACAACAAAAACTTAAATGTAACACCCTCAACTATTATCTGCTTTTCTAGAATGTAGATTGCAATTATACGAAATGTATACGGTTATGGTAGCAGTCATTTCCCTCATTGCTAATCTAATTTAAACATGGCAGGAAAAGCATATAGAGAAAATCTTAAATAAACAGACAGGGTCATTTGCTAGGCTGTTGAGAATTCAAAGTGGAAATCAAATTTTAGGTCAAAATAGCTGAATCTGAAAAAAAATGTGTTGAAAAAACCCAAAAAGTCCAAATAATTTAAAGAAAAAAAATAAAGATACACTAAACAGTTGAGTTTCTGAGCTAAGCCGGGGTCATTTTGCTGTTTTGAGTTGACAGTTACTTATCACATAAATATATAATTCTGCTGTCACTCTCTTTCAAGAAAACAACATTAAAGGGACACTATAGTCACCAGAAGAACTACAGCTTATTGAATTTGTTCTGGTGAATAGAATCATTACCTTCAGGCTTTTTGCTGTAAACACTGTCTTCTCAGAGAAAATGCAGTCTTTACATTACAGCCTAGTGATAACTTCACTGGCCACTCCTCAGATGCCTGTTAGAGATCCTTCCTGGGTCATGGCTGCCTAAGATGCATCCAAACATTCAGTGTCTCCTCCCTCTACATGCAGGCAGACACTGAACTTTCCTCATAGAGATTCATTGATTCAGTTCATCTCTATGAGAAGATGCTGATTGACCAGGGCTGTGTTTGAATCATGCTGGCTCTGCCCATGATCTGCCTCTTTGTCAGTCTCAGCCAATCCTATTGGGAAGCATTGTGATTGGATCAGGCTACCACTTCTGCTGATGTCAGCAGGCAGTGGGCAGGTCAAAAGGAAACAGGGACAAGTTCTGCATCTTCAGGCTTGAATACAAGTAAGGTTTTACAATTTTTAGGGAGGATTGAGGGAGACAAGGGGTTAGATGGTGGTTTTAACCCAATAGGGTCAGGAATACATGTTTGTGTTCCTGACCCTATAGTGCTCCTTTAACCCCTTAAGGACCAAACTTCTTGAATAAAAGGGAATCATGACATGTCACACATGTCATGTGTCCCTAAGGGGTTAAGCAAGTATTCATTAAAGGACCACTCTAGGCACCCAGACCACTTCAGCTTAATTAAGTGGTCTGGGTGCCAGGTCCAGTTCAGAGAAACTGCTATGTTTATTAATGGGTTAAGCCTTCCCCCAAAGCCTCTAGCGACTGTCTCATTGACAGCCACTAGAGGCGCTTGCGTGCTTCTCACTGTGATTTTCACAGTGAGAGCACGCAAGCGTCCATAGGAAAGCATTGTGAATGCTTTCCTATGTACTGGCTGAATGCGCACGCAGCTCTTGCCGCGCGTGCGCATTCAGCCGACGGGGAGGAGATAATGAGGATCGGAGGAGGAGAGCTCTCCGCCCAGCACTGGAAAAAGGTACGTTTTTACCCCTTTCCCCCTTCCAGAGCCGGGCGGGAGGGGGACCCTGAGGGTGGGGGCACCCTCAGGGCACTATAGTGCCAGGAAAACGAGTATGTTTTCCTGGCACTATAGTGGTCCTTTAAACTAGTAGCAACCAATCTACAGCTTCTTATATTATTGCCAGGTAGCTTCCTTCCAATGCAAAGGCCTCTTAGCTTTCTATTATTTGTTTAGGACATGTACCTACGTGGACAAACAGCATCAGCTATTTTATGAATCGCTACAGCTATATATATTTCCAGTCCCTTCAAAATATAAAAGAATAGAAAATAAATAATTTGTACTAGTGCTATAGTCCTTAGCATCTCTAAATGTTGAGATAGAAAAGGGGAAAATACTGCTCTCAAGGATGCAGAGTGTGTATTCTACCCAATGCATACAAATCAAATTTTACAAAAGTAACAAATTGCAAGCCTGTTACCAAAAATTTCACTTATTGTGTCCCTGAATATATTTAATATTTCCCAGGTGTAGCTGTGGCTAAGCGTAAAGGTTTTTGTTTTTTCTGTCCTGCAGTTCTGCAATGTGTAGTTTGCAAGTACGGCAGACAATGGCAGTGATCTAATATCTCGCTTTGGTTCGTGCCCCTTTAGATGTGAATGGAAGTGATTAAGTGACATGATGCTTGGAGCTGACAGCTTCTATTCAGTGACCTTGCTGCTATGCTGACTGCGGAATTTTATACAGTCGGAATTATCTTCATACTTCCACACCGAGTCGTTTGTCAGAACTAAAGAGTTTCAATGCTAAAACAATACCCTGCCGCGAGAGACAAAAGAGCTTAGATACAGTCAGGTTACAAATTGATCCCACATTAGCTAAATGAAGCAAAACGCATGTTTTTAAAGATAAAGAGTCAAATGACTATAATGAGAGACAAAGGTCAAAGATTTCAATACAAAAATAAAAATTAAACATGGGCTTTAATGAATAATACATCAATGTCGCCGAGAAAATATGGATACAGATCTGTACTGGACAGGAAATGGTCAGTACCTACTGAGAACAGGCCTGCCCAATGTAAGAACACCTCCTTATGTCAACACAGTAAGTGGCCAGTCAGTTCACATTTTACCTATATATTAAAGGATTACTATAGGGTCAGGAACACAAACATGTATTCCTGACCCTATAGTGTTAAACCCACCATCTAGCCCTCTGGGCCCCTTAATGCCTCCATAAATATAGCAAAATCCTACTGTATTCAAGCCTGAAACTCTGCATGCTGTTAGACTCAAAAAAACAAGCAGTCTGTTGACATCAGCAGAAGTGGTGGTCTGAGCCAATCACAATGCTTCCCCATAGGATTGGCTGAGACTGACAAAGAGGCAGACCAGGGGCAGAGCCAGCATGATTCAAACACAGCCCTGGCCAATCAGCATCTCCTCACAGAGATGAACTGAATCAATTAATCTCTATGAGAAAAGTTCAGTGTCTGCATGCAGAGGGAGGAGATACTTAATGTTTGGATGCATTTTAGGCAGCCATGACCCAGGAAGGATCTCTAACAGCTGTCTGATGAGTGGCCAGTCAAGTTATCACTAGGCTGTAATGTAAACGCTGCATTTTCTCTGAAAAGACAGTGTTTACAGCAAAAAGCCTGAAGGTAATGATTCTACTCACCAGAACAAAAACAATAAGCTGTAGTTGTTCTGGTGACTATAGTGTCCCTTTAAAATAAATGAGCAAATAGCACGGTGTCTCTAGTGGTTGATGGAGCAGTTGTCCAGGGTGCTGTTTAAGCGTCTCCTATGTATCGCTCCTATATTCAATTTTAATTCTTTATATTTTCCATATCACTATCAATGGTTAGGGTTAGAGAGAAGGATGTTCCAGAATTAAAAGCTCTTCAAAGAACTCACCTGTGCCTTAAATGACCACTAAAGTCACCCATACCACCTCATCTCAGTGCAGTGGTCTAGGTGCAGCGGCCTTGTTTTTTTTTTTACCCAGCAATGTAATACTTGGCTTCTTCATAGAAACTCCAATTTTTACTTTTCAAGGTTAAAGTGCTTCTTTTACAATGATCAAGTAAAACTCGGTCACGTGAGATTGCGGTTCATAGAAACGCATTGAATTCAACAGTTTCCTATTAGAAGTATTTGGATATCCTATTGACACTTGCCTCGCATCTGCATCAGTTTCCAGTGCTCCTCTATGAGCATGGGCCAATGGCCATCGGCTTAAGAGCTGGGTGATGTCGCAGGAGGGGGACTTTGCGCTCGAGATAAGTTTAAAAAAAGTTTTTACTGAAAACAGGAGGGAGACCAAAACTTACTCTGCAACTAAGGTCTCATACTGTTGGGAGTGTAGGCTTGTATTCCAAGTGCTGTTATGTTCCTTTAAATGAGCCCTGGTTTTATGTTGTACACGAGTCTTCAAATTTAAAGGCATACAAGGAAATCTGAAAGAACAGGTTGTTTGTATTACCTACTAAATGTTTAAATAGAAACATTCACCACATTTCTGCTGTCTTTTGTTTTCCGAGAAGTTTGCCGGTGTAGTGCCAGTGGGTGTACCAACTTGCTAATCAAGCACTTATGTAGTATTTTCAGAGATAGTCACCTCTGCTTCATTGCCTCAGGAAGTTTCTTACAGAAACGATTCTTGACCCTTCTTTGAGATGTTTATCTTTGTTAAATGTACCATCAGAAAACTCATTATGCCATCTCATTAGCCCTCCAACTACCCCCCCCCACCCCTTCTAAGCTGCACAATTAAATATTTTTAAAAATTAAAACACTTAGAACTTTATTAGATCACATGTATTTTTTTTTTTTTGTGAAATCTAGTTTTTGTGGAAACTATATGTGTAAAAAGTACATATATTTTTATGTTATATTTACTAAAATTTAAAGAAATATCTCTTGAGCCCTAAGCACTGGCCTCTGCAGCTAATGAAGTCCCATCCCCTTTTTGTCTAGCACTTACTAACTTGTTAGTTGTTAGGCACTGTTAACGATGGTTTTATTAAAAATTACAAATTTGTATAAAGAAAAAAAAGCATACTTTATAGGGCTGTATTATTTTAGAATTGCCATTTTTATGTAATGATTTACTGTGTCCATCTAAATGGTGGGTTGTATTATAGAATTATAGATTTCCTGAGGACAAAATTATTATAAGGTTTATCAGTGGTTCTTATCTAACCGCTGGATGAGGTTGATTGGAGTTATATTCCACATATGCACACTATCCCATTATATCAGATGTATATTTTAACTCCCACCAGCCAAAACCAGAATCTTACTGAGCATGATATGAGTTGTAGTCCCTTTCCATGGACCCTAAATAATTATCCTCCATAATTTTTACCAGTGATTTTAATGTAATATACAATTTACACAATGTATTTATTTAGGCAGAAGATGAGTATATGTAGTCTGAGATCGTCATATCTGATGTCAGCCAAGGGGATGGGGGCAGGGCCAAACACTGTCCTAGCCCATCAGCATCTTCTCATAGAGCTGCATTTAATCAATGCATCCATATGGGGAAAGTTGCAGCACTGACCCAGGAAGCACCTCTAGTAGCCGTCTAAGGAGTGGCCACTAGAGGTGTTTCTAGGATATAATGTAAACACTACCTATTCTCTCAAAAAAGACAGTGTTTCCAGCAAAAAGCCAGCAGGAACTGACTATACTCACCAGAACAACTACATTAAGCTGTAGTTATTCTGGTGGCTATAGTGTCCCTTTAATTTTCATTGTTTTATTGGAGCAAGATGCAATACAATATACAATATTACATGTGTGGTGAATACACATTATATATAAGAGGACAGCAACATATATAGCAAAACCTATTCAATAAACAGTGGATTGTGATGTATTAACAACAGACTTGGAAAATTTCAGAATAGCTGAATAAAACTGGTATCGCTGAATAAAAATATGTTTATTATTATTATTGCCATTTACATAGCGCCAACAGAGTCCGAGGCGCTTTACAATATTAAAAGAGGGGGCATTTAACTATAAATCGGACAATTACAAGAAAACTTACAGGAACAGTAGGTTGAAGAGAACTCTGCTCAAATGAGCTTACAGTCTATATTAGGTGGGGTATAAAACACATTAGTACAGTTTAATACGTTGGAAGGGATTTTTTTGTCCATCTGGCTAGTTTTCCAAATCAGGTATGATGTCACCACAGTGATAGTTAATAATCGCTCCCTAGATATTTACCCAAAAAATAAAAAATAAAAACATTTCCCGTGGTGCATTGTCAGCATGCATGCTTAGGACATGTAGACTGTATTTCAAAAATATCTGAGGTGTCATGCATAGATATTACTGTCTTCCATGTTGTATAGTTTCATAAAAAATTAAAAAACTTTGAATATTCTCTCCATGCACCTGCATCTAGAGATGAGAACGCTCTTTTAGTCCGTGCCAACAGTTATCATTAGAGACTTTTCAATCACAACAGACAAATTCCAGAGTGTCAGTAACAAATCCCTTTTCCGTATACATCATGCAATCCCTATCCCCAAATGCAATGTTTGGCACCTGTTTGGGTAAAACGGAATATATGATGTAGTGTTAAAGTTTTAGGACACATGCACATAGTTAGCCCCAGTATTATAGTAAACCATAAAAAATCTGGATTATTGTAAAAACATTTAAAGGAACGCTCTAACGTTTGTAATACAAACTGTTATTCCTAACACTATAGTGTCCCTGTGCTTAGTTCTGTTTAACCCCCACCCCCTCACCCACATTTGTTATAAAAAAAATAATACAACTAAAAAAATAGCAATGTTTTACAGGGTTAACAAAACAGGGCAACCGCACCCAGACCATTTCATTGAGATCATAATGTCCCTTAAAAGCTTGTCTCTATAGATTGATATTTCTTGAAGATTGTTGGGTGGGGTGACACTTTGAAGTTCAATGTGATTTAAAAAAAAAAAAAAATGTAGGAAACCTTTTGAAGAGTTGCTAAGTCTTAATCAAGAAGAGGAAATCTGTTTCAGTTAGCTAGTGCTAATCAAACGTTTTGTGTTTATTTGGAAAAGTGGTGGGTAAAAACCGAGGAAAAACACAATTGCAACTGGGCACAATATTTAGTTACCTTCGTTTATCTGTAAAATGAAACCTACTTTAACAGAGGGCAGAAGTCCAAAACGTAACATAATACTAAGAATGCCACTCTGTATAAAACATGAAAGGGTTTATTCACCAAGCAATGAATTGGAAAAAAATAGACCAAAATAGCTGATTTGGACAAAATCTCAAACTCGGCTATTGTGACAGATTTATTTTTTACTTGTTTTTTTGTAAAACATTTTTCATTGAGAATTTGTCTATAAGTAGCACAGTAAATACTTCAATACACTGTAGTGAAAAACCTTTGAGTTGATTAAACAAAAGTCTAAAATATTTCTGCTGAGGTGATCGTTCCAGAAGAGTGAACTTTGACTTACAAATATTAAGACAATTATAGCTTACATGAGGTGTATATACCTATCTCTGCTTGTAAAAAGTACACAAATAGCGAAATTGCAGCTTTACGAATATTTGGCTGTAAATGACCACTAAAGGCCGTCACTACACATTGTCATAATGGGATACTGTATGCATCATAACCACTACAGCTTATTGCAGTGATTATGGTTCTATAAATTTGTAGTCAGTGTTTTTCTATCAAATTATTTTGGCGAAGTTTTGCAAAAACCTTTGCTCTCTCTTGACCTCCATAGGCCACCAAAGTTGGACAACAAGTGTATGAATGCACTAAGTTAATCATAGTGAAGGAATTTCTGGAACTTGTAGTCCTGCTAACCTACAAACTCTAGAAATATTTACTGTATTTCCAGATGGCATGTACAAGTGTTACCCTGAATAACCTACCGCAGTTTTTCTTTTGTCTCCTGTCCCACTAACAACATAATTATTCCCAATAATTGCAGGTCAATTGCATTAGTTGATTTTATTTATTTATTTAATATTTATTAGGAGAGGGTTACAATAATCCATGCAGGAAATTACTAGAGCATGGACAAGCTCCTTGGTAGCATCTTGAGTAAGAAAGGGGTGGATGTGGGCTATTTTTTTAAGATGGAATCTACAGGATTTGGTAACTGGATGTGAGACTCAAAGGTGAGGCCAGAATCAAGTATGACACCAAGACAGCGCCCTTGCAAGGATGGACTGGTGTGGATACCACTAACTTGAAGGGAGAGCGAAAGAGGAGGATCAGTATTAGGAGGAGCTCAGTTTTCGAGAGATTTAGTTTCAGAAAGCGGGAGGACATCCAGTAAGAGATGGAAGAAAGCCAAGCAGTGACACGTTGCAGGACGGCAGTGGAGAGGTCCAGGGAGGAGAGATATATCTGGATGCCATCAGTGTACAGGTGGTAATGGAATCCAAATGAGGTAATAAGTTTGCCAAGAGAGGCAGTATAAAGAGAAAATAGAAGGGGACCAAGGACAGAGCCTTGGGGGACTCCAATCGAGACAGGACGAAGAGAGGAGGTATCATTAGAAAAGGAGACACTGAATGAGCGGTGGAGAGATAGGAGGAAAACCACAAGAGGACGGAGTCACAGAGACAGAGTTTCAGAAGGAGAGCATAATCAACAGTGTCAGAGGCAACAGAGAGGTCAATAAAAAATTAGTATGGAGTAGTGGCCTTTGGATTTAGCTGCGATTAGGTCGTTAGTAACTTTGATAAGAGCAGTCTCAGTAGAGTGGAAGCCAGATTGAAGATGGTCAAGGAGAGAGTTGGAATTGAGGAAGTGAGACATACGGATCGTGCCCCATTAACTGTACATAAGACATTCAGCATGGAGCCTAATGTACATGCATGACAGACTGACACTCCCCATTTTCGGTCAGGTTGCCACTCTTTTATTCAGCAGGATCTTCTTTTTTATGTGTAGGGCCATTCACTATAGAATCAGTGACAGCTCTCTTATGGACTCAAGTCTTGCATTATACAAACCTATATCGTAATAAATACAACTCGCTGTTATCGCACCAGGTTGGATACCATCCACCAGTTTGTGCTAAATCATTTAATAATGGCTTGATTAAGAAAATGTGTTCTATTCTGACACTTCAGCCCGGTCACTTTTTAAATGATGGTGACTTCTGTAGATAAAAAAAAATAGAAAATTATTTCTAAAAGTTTGGGATAATTTAAAAAACTTATCCAAAAGAATTCAATAGTGGCCTATGTCAGGATTAGGGATTTCATGGGTTGGGAGCTACTAAAAACTACGGTGGGTTTTGTACTTGGAATCAAGAAAGAAAAAGAAACACAACAGTAGTGAGTCTTTTCTATATTTTCAATCTCTCTCTTGCTTTCCTTGGACTGCTATTCTCTCAGCAATCTAAAAATATTTGTACATGCCAAACTATTGTTTGCCAGCCTTTGTATCAATGGCTTCCAATTTCCCAATCCAGTCATCATGGCATACCAATAGTCCAGGATTATGCATTTCCCAATTCTAATCCAATGGGGTTTTGACAAAATCTTGGCTGTTGGTTAGTGTACTTTGGTTTGGTACCACTGCCCTGTATGAAAAATAGTGGGTTTTGCACCATCTGAGCAATTAAAAAAAAACCTTACACATGTACAGTTTCATCAACTATGTCTTCTGATTTCCAAGGCAGCAGGACACTGAATACCAACTACTTGCATTCTAGCTTGTAACTCCTATAATTAGTGAAATTTAGGAATATTCTAAGTGATTTACAGGGGATGATGGAAACCTGTGTATGCCAATATTATAGTAAGACAGCCTTTAGACAGGTGCAGTTATTTCAAGCATTCTCCATGACATGGTTAAAGAACGAACAGCAATCTAACCATAACTTTATCAGTGACAACTTTTCTCCACGTTGCACATAGTTAAACAACATAATGAAAAAAAAAAGAATTTTAGAAACTGTGATTTTGTGAAGTGGACAGTACTTTAAAAAAAAAAGAAAAAAAAAGCTGATTAGGTATGGCCCTCATTTTTGGCTTGGTCTCCAGTTTTGACAAGCTGAATAAAAGCAGATTTTCTCTGCTGTGTATGTAACTCTAGTTCCTAATGATGGCTTTGTGTAGTTTTCTGGTGGTCCTCTGAAGCTATTTGTTTTACCATCTAGCCTCAATGCCACAATCAGAGCTTCCTGCTGAATACTAATGTTGGTGATGGATCTTTCAAAGCTTTTCATTTTATCATCCGTCAGCCCATTCATTAGAGCACAGATCATGCTGAGAGACAAGAGAGCTGAATGGCAGAGAGAGAATACCTTCGAAAGAAGTACAGAGCTGCACTATGAAAGATTCCTCTGTGCTTCACATCTCAATCCTCCTTCGGTTTTCTTGAAACATCACAGCTTGGGTTTCACATAGAAAGATTCTAAGCTCGAAGAAAGCAATCAGAATATCTTTTACTGTCTTTATATACCTTTTCTCTTATGTTTTCACACAAAATCGGACTTTTCTTCTTGGCAAATATACGCCGTCTAGCATTCGCCAAGATGGTTCACATGTCAGGATTGCCAAAGAAAAAGAAAATAACCTTACTTAATTATCACAATTGGTGCCAAGATTAATAGAATTTGATGAACCCCCATTTTGCAAAGACTGTGAAACTCTAGTAATTTATCACAGACCTATGGAGTTAAACAATTAAAATGTGTTTATAGGAGAAAACGTCCTGTAATATTTTTAATTTTTTTTTAATTTTGGCAAGACAATAAGAAACATTATTACATCCCATTAACGTATCCTTTAAATAAATAAATTGATGTTTTAAAAAGTTAAAGTGTATATTAGCATAGATATCTTTAAAGAATCATAAATGTGTTTCAAAATAGTAAAACCACCCTGTCGTGTGCTTTTAGGAAAGAGGTTTATATTAATGCAAAAAAGAACATAACCTGCTGTAGTGGTTATGGTGCCAGAAATTCACTGGTGCCCCTCGAATGTTAGTAGACAAGAATTGTTTGCCACCTGTTGCCGCCTCCCCTGGAGCCGGAGGCTTTGAAACGATCTTCTGTTAGCATTACTGAGCTAAGCCTTGCCATGCAGGGCCTGCTCATTGGCTGTGAGAGGGATGTAGTGGTTATAGTGCTTGGTGTGTTCCTTTAACCTTCTCTATCAGAAAAATGTTCTGGAATACATTTAAAACATTTCACATAATTTATATACTTTTTGATACTTTTGAATTTTTCATTTCTTGGCTTGTAAATCTTCTTCAACTAATTTATTGACCTATCGTGTTTTGTATCTTTTCACACTACATCATTGGTTGATATAATGTGCTCATTTACTTTGAGGAGATTTTGGCTAACAGGGTTTATTGTGTCTTTAGCATAACCCTTTGACATTGATTAGCAGCATAAACATATTCAAAATCAGTGCTGAACCTGTTGGATTTGGTTATTTTATCAGCTAAATTCTGCTTCTTTCAATAGGTGAACTCTCTATAGAAGATATCCAGGACCCATTCCTTGTTAGCATCCATATAATCGCTGATCCTGGAGAATCCAGGTGTCTCCAAGATGCTATTGACAAGCTACTTGCATGGATCCACCCAGATCTTCAGTTGTTCCGTGTCTCTGAAAGGAGGATTTCAAGGAAAAGAAAGCCCACTAAGGGCTTTGCTTCACAACCTGCTTTTGCTGTCATTCTCTTCATACAAGAAGAATATGGAGAAGAACAGATATTACATCTGCACGAATGTTTCCAGAAACCACCATGGAAGTTCCATCATACGGAGCGCGTACATGGCAAATTCCTCCCTTACATGCCATGCAACCAGGACTTCTTTACTTTAGCCAACGGAACACCGCTGTGGGCCATCAGGCAGGTGCACTACGGGAAGGAAATTATACGGTTTACTATCTACTGCAGTTACGAAAATTTTGCATATATGATGAAAATGTATGAACTGATATTGAAGAAATCGGTGTGGAAGAAAAAGGCCGATTTCTGTGTTTTTCCAATTTATTCAAACCTGGATATAGACATTGAGTTTTCCCTGAAAAGGCTTCTGAAGGGACAAAGCCCAATCCCATTAGAATCTTCACTGCTGGAGTTTAGAGTTAAAGATTTTGGACAGCTAATTCCACTTTTGCCCAACCAATGTAGTCCCATAAGCGAGGGAAGGTGGCAGACTGAAGATCACGATGGAAATAAAATACTGTTACAGGTAAACATGTTTTACATATATGCGATGGAACAATAATATGTTACCCATTGTGATTGTGTCAATAATTATGTCACTATGTGATGAGACAGGCACATCATCTACAAAAAGTACCTGAACAACCCATTACATTCCCAAATTTCCACGCTCAGAGAATCACTGCATGCAGATTGGTGTGCCTCTAATTAAAAATGAGAGTAATAGCAGCACTGGGGCTATTTATTTTCCCCTCCTTTCCATTGAAATGCATGTGAACCTTTTAAGAATGAATTGCATGGAAGGATCTCCTTCCTGAAGAAGACTGTGTTGGCAAATTCAGACTTTGTCAGATTTCCAAGCCTTGTTCTCACTCTCAATTATTGTGAATGAGATGAAGGTTCAAAGTTAATTAAAACACTGTCCCCAGGCCCAATTTTATTAAATGTATTTATCTTAACCCATGGAACACTGTATTTTAGAGTGATCAATCAGATCAGTACAACAGTTCTGCAGTTGTTGTTTTTTCACTGTAAATGGATGTGTTTTAATGCATTGTGCAGGAGCCAGTCAGTAGCATTAAGTGTGATGAGAATCTATAGACATGCATGAAAGGGGTCAGACGTTGCATATATGAGTTGATGTCAAAATTATTTAAAGGAGCACTTAATTGTTAGGAATACAAAGCCAGCACTATATTATCTCTCTGCCTCTCTAACCTCCACTTCACAACTCTCAAAGGTTTTTTTTTAACTAACCTTATTCCAGCGCAGAGGTCCCTTGGCACTGGCTCCATTTCCGCTTTAGAATCATAGAAACATAGAATGTGACGGCAGATAAGAACCATTCGGCCCATCTAGTCTGCCCAATTTTCTTAATAATTTCATTAGTCCCTGGCCTTATCTTATCGTTAGGATAGCCTTATGCCTGTCCCACGCATGCTTAAACTCCCTCACTGTGTTACCTCTACCACTTCAGCTGGAAGGCTATTCCATGCATCCACTACCCTCTCAGTAAAGTAATACTTCCTGATATTATTTTTAAACCTTTGCCCTTCTAATTTAAGACTGTGTCCTCTTGTTGTGGTAGTTGTTCTTCTTTTAAATATGGTCTCCTCCTTTACTGTGTTGATTCCCTTTATGTATTTAAATGTTTCTATCATATCCCCCCGTCTCATCTTTCCTTCACGCTTTACATGTTAAGATCCTTTAACCTTTCCTGGTAAGTTTTATCCTGCAATCCATGAACCAGTTTAGTAGCCCTTCTCTGAACTCTCTCTAAAGTATCAATATCCTTCTGGAGATACGGTCTCCAGTACTGCGTACAATACTCCAAGTGAGGTCTCACCAGTTATCTGTACAATGGCATGAGCACTTCCCTCTTTCTACTGCTAATACCTCTCCCTATACAACCAAGCATTCTGCTAGCCCAGCATCATCGTGAGGGAGACACTAATGCAAGCGCTGTAGGCACATTAGGCCTTTTCAATAGGAAAGCATTGAATCAATGCTTTTCTACAGGGATTTAGTAGACACTAGACGTCCTCATGCAAAGCGTGAGTACATCCAGTGCCGTTGCATAGAGTTAAACTCTGTGAAGAAGCAGGAAGTGCCACCAGTGGGTGTCTGGTAGATAGCCACAAGAGGCAGTCTTAACACTGCAATGAAAACATTGCAGTTTCTCAAGATGCAGGGTTAAGGGGACAGGGACATGACTGGGTGCCTATATTGTTCCTGTAACATGTGCATATAAGAGCTTGTTGGTGCAGGGAAGATGGACTTTTAGCAGAATTAATTAATGGAATCAAAGCAGGCATGCGTCAGGAATTTACTTGTGTCATAATCTATAGAAGGTGTTGTAATGGTGGAGTGCCTCTGCCATTTGGGGGATAGTGGGCATAGTGGGCAGTGCTGTATAAGATAGCCCATGCTATAAGGATGGAAGCCCTGCTTATTCCCATTTGATATTAGGAAGGAATGAGGCAGAATGTTGGGTAAGAGAAAAAATCCTTTAAAATCCTTTAAAAGAGTGAAATATGGCTCAGAAAAAAACTTCTACCAGAAGTTCCAAGTATGTGAGGACCACGAACAGAGAGGGATGCAGGAGGCAAAATCAATTGCCTTTTCGCTATCTAAAAAGATCCAGGCCATTTGAAGGTGCTTATGATTCTCATATCAAACAGGATCTATACATCTTAGCGTTTTGCTTGTCTATTTCTTGTTTGGTTTTGGGATGAGGCATACATTGACAACATATCAGGGGGCAATTGGCGTCCTCAAAGCAGTGCATTAAAAAATGCATAGAGTTGTGTGAGAAGGGCTTCTTTGTAATATAAGGTTATATATCCATCTGGGTCAGGAAATTTAGGGGGCTTAAAAGAGCCTACGGCTGAAGCTAATTACTCATTAGTGACATGTGTGACTTGTCACCTCCTGGCGACCAGGTTCTACTTGTGTCCCTTTTTCATAAAATTGTTGTTTGGTTTACATAAGTGCTTTAGAGGTGCCTGTAAATGTAAGTTGTTTGAAGAGATATCTAGCTCCAGTAATTTGTGTCAAGAGTTGGGCTGTAGGGTTTTGTTTATGTAGTGATTCTGAATGATTGGATTTGGTCATTGTGTCAGCAAGTTGCTTAATATGTTATTTGCTACACTGATTAATTTGCCTCTAATGACTGGTTTGTGGGCCGCCCATAGTGTAAATGGTGAGGAAACTGAGGGTTCATTGGTGGTAAAATTATCATCATTTGAGATGTCTTATACTAAGGACTTATTGTGTAATAAAAGCAGGTTAAGTTTCGACATCAAAGGGCGATTTCGTTTTGGGATAGCGTTAAGGAAATATCAATGTGTGTCAGTGTATATGTGTGTCTGTGTCTGTATGTGTGTGTCGCTGTGTATGTTCATATGTCTGTACATTCAAACACACTATACACAAATACACCCCTGCATTACAGTGGCAACACTGTACACAAATATGAATATACATAAACTGGATTTAAACACCAACACTACATACAAACACACCAGTGCATTCAAACGCAAACACTGCAAATGAACACCCCCTGCACTGAAATGCCAACACTAAACACAAGTGTACACCTGCATTGGAACACCAGCCCTATATAAAAACATACATCTGCATTCAAATAGCAACAGTGCTTATGGATACACTCTGCAAGGATGGGCAAATGGTAGATCCCAAGCTGGCAAAACATTGTGGGAGTTGTATGATAGTTAAGGATCTACGGTTTGGCCACACTTTGCCTTCTCTACATTAGTTCCCCTACTGCCTACCCCATGACATTGACATGACGCACAGTTTGTATCATTAGCTGTCTCTGGCTTAAGCACCTATATCGCGTCATTAAATTATGTAATTCTACCTGCATTGTCAGGAAATGAACTTTACATATAGGTCTGAGAATCATAATCATGTTTTTTTCTTTTATTACCTGTTTATATACATCCAGTTATTGTTGGTGTCTACTAATCACAGAAAACATTATTTAAGTCTAAACTGTCACTAAAACACATATATGTCTGCGTTGTTGCTTTGTCCCTGGGGGCGCTAGCTTGGTTATGACTTGCTCTTGTAGTGAGTCAGATTCCAAGCTGTATTTTTCTTTATGATCTGTAATCTATTTTCCATTGACATCATGTAGGCAACATTAGTTGCAGTGGGATTTCACAATAACTTTTCAATATCATTTTTAATGTTTTTAAAGCTTTTGTCTCTGTCTTTCTGCTATGAAACTTGATGACTGTTTATTGTACTTTTAATATGCATTGATTGGAATTTAAAAGGGGACAGGTAGAAGCTCTGATGTAAGCCGTCTGTAATGGAGTGTGTGAATCACTGTCAGCGTTGTTAATTACTTATGCAGAACAGCTTTTATTATTTTTTCGGTTTCTTGTTATATGGATGAAATTCATTTACGGTCAAACAGTTCACATGCAAAGCTCTGTAAGGAATAGGACAAAAGAAATGAAGGGGTTAAAAATAATGGGATGAGCTTTAACAGGAAAGATTGTGCGTGAGGAAGATAGTAAATGTGGTGTCTGTAAACGGTATTTGAGTTGACACAGATTGAAGCCAGCAATACCCAAAACCACACTATTATTCATGAACCTGATCGATATGTCGGCCAAGCAGCTGGAGTGAAAAAGTGTTCATTATTGATCACTGTACTAAAACATCAATCAGGCAAGGTATATGTCAAATAGATCAGATTGGCAAGTATGTTAAACCCAGAATAAATAATACCTGTGATAGTTATAGGTGATTTGATCTCAGTCAGGGAGGCAGGGCCAGCCACAGCGTATCAGCATGGCGTGGGAGGAAAGGTGGGTAAAATCAAATTTTCAGCGCGATTGGAGGGGGGACAGACATCTGAAATGTCACATCAGGACTATAGTGCCAGCATTATGTTTGTACTTATAACACTTGTCTTCCTTCAAGACAAGATAGTGGGGAAAATGTTGGTAAATAAGGACTTAATGAAAAATTAAGAAAGGAATTAAGTTCTAAGTCAGAATAGCCATAATGAGAGCTTTTGCAGTACAGCTGTTTTTGAATTTTAATCTGGTTAAGTGAATAACCCCAACTGATTTTAAATATTACACAGATCATTATATCTGGACAGGGCAAACTGCCTTCAGAGGCACATCCCCATGAAAGTGCCATTTATAACATTGCCATAATGTATTTTAGCATGAGAATAAATTTCTTCTATTTACTCATATGAAATCAATATTATTATTCACTTCTTTATTGTAAGCTCTTTTGAGCAGGGTCCTCATCAGCCTCTTGTTCCTGTAACATTTTGTAATTATCTCATTTATTGATTAAATCTACCCCCTTTATAATAATGTAAAGCACTACAGAATATATTAGCACAATATAAATGCCAATAATAGTAATATCAATCATTTACTATGGGTAGATGTCATAGTACCCTCAGTGCCATGCATCTACATTTTAATTTTGCTTAATGTTTCCTATGGAAAATAGGTAGCTACTTGCCAGATCTATTAAAATGTGTTACATCAATCAGCAAACCAATTATCTGGGTACATTAAAGGACCACTCTAGGCACCCAGACCACTTCAGCTTAATGAAATGGTCTGGGTGCCAGGTCCAGCTAGGGTTAACCCATTTTTTTATAAACATAGCAGTTTCAGAGAAACTGCTATGTTTATGAATGGGTTAAGCCTTCCCCCAAATCCTCTAATGGCTGTCTCATTGACAGCCGCTAGAGGCGCTTGCGTGATTCTCAATGTGAAAATCAGAGTGAGAGCACGCAAGTGTCCATAGGAAAGCATTGATAATGCTTTCCTATGCGACCGGCTGAATGCGCGCGCAGCACTTGCCGCGCGTGCGCATTCAGCCGACGGGGAGGAGAGGAGGAGGATCGGAGGAGGAGAGCTCCCTGCCCAGCACTGGAAAAAGGTAAGTTTTTACCCCTTTCCCCCTTCCAGAGCCAGGCGGGAGGGGGACCCTGAGGGTGGGGGCACCCTCAGGGCACTATAGTGCCAGGAAAACGAATATGTTTTCCTGGCACTATAGTGGTCCTTTAAGTCCCCCAAACTGTAAAATTAAGAGTTTTGGAAAGTTCATTAACTGTGGAACCGAGAGAGTTAAAATACATGTAAAATAAAAGTTTATCTTAAAAATCTGCAGGTTAGCATAAACGTCAGTTTCTCAGTTAATAAAGTCCTTTAAAATTGTAAGCACCACCTTAATGATTAATCCACCTGGTAGATGTAGCGGCAGGAAATGGATTGAGCATAAAAATGATTACGTAAGTACGAGAGCTGGTATACGAATCATTCTCCTACTTAACTGACAACAAGAATGTGTTAAATATATTGACAGCTCACTTCATGGAAAATAATTATTCCTGTTAAGCCCACAAATCGTATCCTGTGTATATCCTACTCACTTATACTATACAGCTTTAAAATGTCATTAAAATCGTAAATCTTTAGGCACCTTTTATTTAGTTTTATTTTTTAACATTTTCTCCCACATTCTTGCTCATCTAAGCTATAGATTTATTTTTTAGAAGTTAACATCTGTTGGCACAACTATAGGTGCGGCTGTTTCCTTAAATAATAACAGGTTCTAGGGCAGAGAATCTGCTTATTGGACAAAAAGAAAATGCTTAACACTAAACCAGATATATACAACAATAAATTATATAAACAACTAAAAATTTTAGATATGGGTATACCCTGTTTGGAGAGCGTGTGTTCCTGAAATATAGGTATGACAAATGGGGTATGTTCAGTCTTTTTTAATAATCACAAACACTGGCCAAATTTAGCGTTCATAATAGTTTTTTGCATTTTTAACACACAAACAAATATAAATGCTAAATTTGGCCAGTGTTTGTGACTAAGTGGCTACTAAAAAAGACTGGACATACCCCATATTGAATACCCTGGGTTGTCTACTTTTCAAAAACATATGATTTGATGGGGGTAAAATACATTGGCCAGCTTCAAAAATGTCCCAAATAGGACATGGGTGCATGATGACCAGCTTGGAAAACTGGAATGGGCAACTTTCAAATAAGGTCTTTTAGCCCCCAGAGAATATAACACACGTATGCATGGGTGGTATCACTGTATTTAAGAGATGTCGCTCAACACGTATTGGGGTGTTCTTTGGCAGTAGCCCTTAAAGTTCTCAGTACATGTATTCTTAATATGCTATGTGTGTCAAAACAATCACCAATTTATTTAAATTTTTTTTAAATCTGTCATAGATTGGTGTTAAAATTGTTCCATAAAAAGATTTTAATAACTTAGGTTGTCTTCTTTTAAAATATATATACATTTGAAGGGTTATTCAGGGATTCCTGACAGATATCAGTGTTACAATGTAACTTGCGTTAATTTAGAAAAAAAAATGGTTTGGAAATAGCTAAGTGCTACTTGTACTTATAGTCCTATAACTTTCCCAAAAAAAGCTAAGAACATGCTTACATTGGGCATTTCTAAACTCAGGACAAAAATTTGAAACTATTTAGCGTGGGTTTTTTGGGGCGGTTGTAGATGCGTTACAGATTTTGAGAGTCAAAGTTCGAAAAAGTGTGTTTTTTTTAAATTTCTTCAGCGTATTTTATAATTGTTTTTAGAGGAAATTATATGATATAATGAAAGTAATAGTATCTTTAAAAGGCCATTTAATGGTGAGGAAAAAAGGTATATAATATGTGGGGGGGGACAGTAAATTAGTAAGAGGAAAATTACAGCTAAACACAAACACAGCAGAAATATAAAAACAGCCCTGTAAAAACAGCCCTGGTCCCAAACAGTAGGAAAATTGAAAAACGGTCTGGTGACTAAGAGGTTAAGGTAATTGAACAGAAAGCATTATAGACTGAGAGAATATTTCCAGTTCAGCTACTTTGGGCTCAAATTTAAAATTCACTTTGAATTTCCGACAATTTTCAGTTTTGTGGATGTCACAGGTAATATATCCCAGGGAATCCTGCCCCGACCAGGTTATCAGAGGCTAACACAAGCCTTGATCACATTCCATAGTTAGCATTCAGTCAATAAAAGTTCTGATCTTCGAATGGTATTGCATGAGTATATTCAACATGATCACAATTCACAGTTTATGGACCTGTTTTCTGTTTGAAAATTTGTGATCATCGCTAATTACACTATCTCAAGTTTAATTGTCCAAGATTGAGATATTAATGCATATATCACAAGTGTCCCTATTTAGGATTGACAGTCCTTATTTTGGGCCTAAATCCCTCTGTCCCTCTTTTCTCTTCTAATGTCCCTCTTTTCTAGGAGCTCCATATTGTTCATGTGTCTGAGCGTATAACAGAGCTTCACAGCAATAATACTCACAGTAATGTGACGTTACACTATAATCAATATGTTTCAAAATCAGTCCATGCCAATAAACATACATTGTTCTTTTTATTGATTACATATTAGTCACGTAAATTTTAATTAGTACGTTTCTTATAACTTATAATATCTTCTGTATAAGTTTGGTGACAATGCTTGCAAATGTCATCAACTCAAAAGAGGTATTTGTGATGTTCGTCTCCGTCATTCGCAAAATCGTTTGCTAATTTTTGCACTACTCGTTTTTTTATTGAAATTTCATAAGGGTACAAGGGCTCAATGAATGTTTAAGCAAATCTTCAGAATCATTGTGATTGCTAAAAGGGACACTATAGTCACCAAAACAACTCTAGCTTAATAAAGCAGTTTCTGTGTATAGTTCATGCCTTTGAAGTTTCAGTGCTCAATTCTCTGCCATTTAGGAGTTAAATCACTTTTGTTTCTGTTTATGCAGCCCTAATCACACCTCCCCTGGCTGGGACTCACACAGCCTGCATGAAAACAAAATGCTTTAATTTTTAATCAGATGTAACTTACTTTAAAAGTTCTTAACTCCTGATCTGTAAATTGAACTTTAATCACACATAGGAGGCTCCTGCAGGGTCTATCTAGCTATTGACAGTGCAGGAAATAAGAAATTCTAAATTAAATAGAATTTGCAATAAAGGAAGTGTAAACATTTGCTGACTCTTTACAGGAAGTGTTTAGGAGGGCTGTGCGAGTCACATGCAGGGAGGTGTGACTAGGGCTGTAAAAACAGTGATTTAACTCCTAAATGGCAGAGAATGGAGCTGTTAGAGTGCAGGGGCGTGACCTATACACCAAAACTAATTCATTAAACTAACATTGTTTTGGTGACTATAGATTCCCTTTAAGCTTGACTGGACATAAAGTATATTTTGCCAGAGGCAAATTTATTGTTTAAAAGTATCGATACAGTGTGAGTTTCATTGTGTCGACATAACAGCAGCTTGGAAGTCATTAACATTGTGTTATTTTATCTTACAATAGACTGTGATTAACTTCATAGTGTCCTCGATCTGCTTCTCTGCCAAGTTCGCTCCTCCACAGCTCATATACTGACACTAAAAGGGAGTTGCTACATCCACCTCTGACTCTTAGCCAGCTGGAAATAGTGGACCATTTAAATTTAGCACATAGCAGGAAATGTAGATATTTCCTATGAGTTTGTCATGTAGATATTTTGATGTTGAGTCATTGTAAAATGTAAAATGACAATATCACTCTCTCTTTTTTGTGACTATGAAATGATATCAAAAGATTCCGCCAAAGGAAAATGCCACAGTTTGGTTGTGTTGTATAAACAGGTACATTTGCCAACCTACAGAGTGGAACTAACACAACTGGTGGTATATATATTTAGAACACCTACCCCTAATTAGGCAACAGCGAGTTTCCAGAAGTTCTAAAAGAAAAAAGTACTCTATAGTATAGAACCATTTCGCCCTCCCTCTGGGCTTTATCGGTCGATAAAGTCCAGAAGGAGGGCGAAACGCATCTCGGAGGAGGCGAGTCAGGGGACACTAAAGCACTTTAGCTAAAACATAGACTTTATCATTTCTATCAGTGCGATAATGATAGTTTTATCATTTTAAATGTGTTTTTATGTTTCAATTGTAATAAATTGTTGCTGAGGTCCTAAAAGCTCCTCCACTGTCTGCTTCCATAAAGAAGGGCTTGTGCTCCCTAATCAGGCACATAGGTGGTTTCACCTAGAGCCTTGGGTTCTAGCAAAGGTGAGCAGGCACTTTTGTATATGTAAAGCACCTGAATTTTAGCTACATTACACTATGCGCCTTGCCTCAAATTTTAATTTATCTCTTTTGAGCTTATACTTCAAGAACCTGGAAAAGGGGTTTGTTACATTACCACAAGTACGATCTGAACCTGTCACCCTAGGCTCAGCTCCATGTGAGTTGAACTAATACTGTTTTATAAAAATTATTTTTATAAAAGGTTTTACACTATAGAGTACTTTTTTTCTTTTAGAAAATCTGGAAACTTGCTGTTCCCCAATTAGGGGTAGGTGTTTTTGTTGTTTTGTATTCCTCCCAAACAATTTTCTGCATGCATTATCTGCTTCCACAATGAAAGGGTCCTTTCATTTACAACACTTGTTAAGCAGATATTAATAATTTACAGACAGGTATGATATATAACTTAGATACACAACAGGAGTTAGAGATGGTGAACTCATTACAAAATAAATTGTAGTTTCCATGTCACAAATCCTCATCTCTTAGATACATACTGTTAATGTGCATTATGCCCGTGCTCTCTGAGCATCTGTGTAGGTTGATCAAAATATCTAGTTTGTGGCCCCAGGCAAGCAGTCAATGGCCATGTGATTATTTACACAGAAAGTGAAAAGAAAGAATGGGACTATTTCAACACTAAACGTTTATCGTAAATGGAAATACTGGGGATCGTTATCACAGTGTAATTTCAGCTAAAACATAGACTTTATCATTTCTATCAGTGCGATAATGAGAATGGTTGAATAGTATGGAGCTATATAAGAAATAGCTAGCTGTTACTGTATTAAACTTCATAAAGAGATTGATTGCAGTTTCAGTAGAATCAAATAAACATGGGGAATGTCTTGAGGAGCAAACCATAACAGTGTGAAAAATGAAATAATTCACATCACACAGTGGCAGGTGCACTGTTCAGGTTCCGATCACACAGTGGCAGGTGCACTGTTCAGGTTCCGCTTATTAGGCCATGATCAGACCAAGGACCAGAGGTAAGGATTAAGAGAGGGAAAGGGGAGAAAAGTAAGTTCATAATGGAGGGTGAAAGAAGGAAATACAGGGGAGAATCCGAATAAATTTACACCTCAATTTACTGGAGTCTCACAGGCTTTCTTTGTTTGTTTGTTTTTTGGCATTGCAGCAAAGTTTCATCAAAATTGATATTTAGTAACTGATGTGCCTTTATTGTGAATAGACCACTTATTAAAGGAGCACAAAACCTTTCATTGTCTCAACGCTGTGCCCAGTGAGTACAGGTTTACGGTCTCATTAGGAAAGCTACGCCAGTAACAATTAACCTTTTCAGTGCCACAGTGAGGAGCGAGATAATGTGGGGCTCTCCCCCGTGGCACTGAAACTGTAAGTAAAATAAATATTACACTCATGTAATTTAAATACTTGACGTGTAATAAGAGAGACAAACGGGTCTCTCCAAAAAAATAAACAAAAAATTAAAAAAATAAGAAAGAGTGGCCTATCTTTTTTCTCCCCACTTGAGCTGAGGATAGAGGGTAAAATAAAAGGACCCAGAAGATGCATAGTTTCCTGCTCTCTGTATTAATATGGGCCAATAATATCCAAGGAAATGCCTAGTGTCCAGTGCCCTTTTATATAATGCAACATTCTAACAATATAAGGAAATCAGTTATTACACAAACGTATTCATCCTTCTGGTTTGGTGGGTTTTCTCTTATCACTACTTGAAGAGAAGAGTGAGGTCTTTTACAGGTCCAGTTTAGGCATTTGGGACATGTAGAATGTACATTATACAGTTTTGCTTTTTAATCAGTACGTAAGTCTCTGATTCTCATATTCTGCTCAAAGCATTATTTTCTCCTTGTGTTCTTTCTCTGCACAATAACAGCGCCACCTACTGGACATATTGCCACCTTAGCGGAAACAGTCAAGATCATTTATGTACTGTATATATAAGATTGTTGATTTTGGTTTGTCGTGGATATCACTTTTTCAGGATCACTGTAACTTCATTAGACCGTGATAGAGAGCAGATACACCATTGAGGTTTGAGGGCCTGTTTGTGTTATCCAGTAGCCAGTGACTGCAGAAACCAATATGTAAAAGCTAGAATAATCGTACCTGTGTTTTATCTCAGAATGTTATTGGATATGAAAAATTGTGTACTCAATATTAGAATGGTGTGTGTATTCTGTTTACTGTTTCATGTTAATGTAGAATATTTACTGTTTTATTTCCAGCAGGTTCACCGATTGACCAGAAAATCAATCTTGAGGCATCAGAACTGCTTATTAGGGAATGTAACCGCAATGCCACTAATCAGCTTTATTCCTCAAAGTCATAAATCCAGATCTTATAAGCACAAGATCAACAATGGGCAAGTCCCATGTTTTGGCGTTTCTGAAAACATCTTCGCAAAGAGGCAAGGGGACATAACCCAAAGTGCAAAGGACACTAATAGCATGGCACAATTATTTCAACGAAGTAAGTCTTTAATATGTTTACCGTCTTTAAAATCATTTCCATCTTGTGCATCATTTCCGTTCAGTGAGCCATCTCCAACATATCGAGAAGATACAGAGGTCTTTCAATCAAGAGGGTGGAAGGGCAATTCCAAGATCAACATTGATGACCTCGAGGGAGCTCAGGAGACTGATGTTGACACAGGCTTGAAACTTTCCACCTCTGACTTGTCTGTTGTATCAGCCTATTCAACGCTTAATGGGTTGTGTAGTGATTTAGAGTCTTCCCTTTCTTTCGATAGAGAAACTACTTCACAAAACAGAACATTATCTGCAAGGAATAAGCTCCATGAGCTGTCCTGCCAATCCCTAAATTCAATTTCTGAACTGTCTTCTGGATCTTTTATTTCATTATTACTTCCAAGTACATCGGGCTCATGTTCTCTAACCGAGTCTCAAAAGGATATTTCCAGCCTTTGTCAAAATACTACGGACATCACCAAGCATTTGACAGAAACTCAGAATACAGAAGAGGAAGAATTTTATATCTGATTGTTCAGATGATTGCTATTGTATCTGCTGCGTTTATATACATTTTCGAGCTACATGATACATCGAATGTTCTAAGTGATAACATTTATTACAAGCTTCACACTTTACATGTAAAGATAACAGGTGAAATAGAAGTGTAATATATAGAGAATTACATTAATTGGCAGTTAAGAAAAAGCATATGATGCAGCTTACAGAATAACTTTAATAATTTATTTTATTTGGAATTTTCTTACCTCTTAACCCAAGGGGATTCTCAGAAAGTAATTGTTACATTTAGTGCCTTATCAGTATAGTCATGTTAATTATATGACCGTACCTTTAAAATTAAAGGGGATTATCATGTACATTTTGTTTTATTATAGGTAATATTAAGCTCCATATATTATATAGGTATATACCATAATTTTGTTCAGTTGCCAATTTTTTGGTAATTTAAAAAAAAATCTAATTCTACAATGTTTGACATTGTTTATATGTTATTATTTTGTCCATATGGTGGCGTTAGGAATTCTGATATTTGCAGTTATTTGTAAGAATTCAACTTATAAAGTTCCTTTAATATGTACCAGCAGGTGATCCATATTGCCCTAATAAGTCTGTTAGTCATACCCAACCCGTCCCGTTCGCAAATAAGGTAAATGTTTATATATATATATATATATATATATATATATATAATTGAGACATGTGCTTTTATACGTGTGTATGGATTTACCTTATATGCTATTGTATTATTACAAATGCACAAGAATACAAAATGTCTACTGAAGATCCTGCTAGTCCGCTGGAACTCCCGTAGACAATCTTGCACTTGTGCAATAGATGCCTCTGCCATTTTATTGCATAGGCATCTATTGCACATTACACAAGATAGTGCCTGTTTTCATCAATCAACACCACTAACATCTATTGAGGAATGGTAGGTTGTGGTGGAAGTCCTGTCCATTGACACGAGACAAAGTAGCCCCTAGGCCTAGTTTGTCTCATGTATATCTTTTGTTGCATTGGAATATCAAAATTCTGATGAAGTCAATAAGGAATTTACATAAACAAGCTATCTTTATGAAAAAAAGGGAAAGGTTAGAGTGGTGCTTTAAGAGTTTAAACAGAGAATCGTGGTGACTTGAAAACCGAATTGGCCTCTATTTCACAATCTGGTTTTAAATTCACTGTTCGGTGTTATGGCCAATACCAAGGACTTTATTCTCTAAAATGAATGATCACACCAGCTTTGCTATTATGATATATCCCCTTTAATATTTAAGAGTACGTTTGGACAGCTGTTCTTCAACGGCAAGTAGTTACTCAAGTGAGCAGTGGCTGAGGCTTATGGGAAGTACTACTGCAATGCCACAAACAACTGATATAGCTCAGTTTCAAAGACTTTGCAGAAGAAGCTAGACTATATTTCCATTACTTGATTGAACTGAGACATGTGCTTTTACCAGCACTGTAAAGATTTCCTAACATTATTATGGTGACATTTCACCCATTGAGTGCCATACATAGCACATGGTACATAGTGCAGTGTTACTTTGCATTGCTGCACTGCACACCCTTCTTCCACTCCTGGGTCTACCACTTTCGACAAATGACTTGCCATGGCTGTCATGATCTACAAGGATTTGTCTCTTTGTCATGAAGGCTCTAAAACAATATAACTTGTGGAATTTTAATATTAAGCTAGGAGGCATCATAACACTGCAAGTCTGTTCCGCAGCTAGAAAATGTAGAATTTATTGTAGAATGGCTAAAATCATTGTATCATGGAGTGACATATCCTAAATAGGATGATGTGAATAATTACAGATCTGCTGTCATCTCACTCAACAGTGGAGCAACCAAAACTATTTACTAATAAAAATAAAAATGTTTCTTGCATCTGAATTTTTATTCAGGTAAATTAGTGGGTTATTCAAACGTATTTATCTCTTTTGTTCAGTGATAAGTTCAAAATTTATGAGATGGCCTAAAATGTACTCAATGTGGACACTACACCATTTGTTTTTTGTTTGTTTTTTATCTAAGATATGTTTGTTTGTCAATGTGTATCAAGTCAAGGTTGTATTTGTGTCTTTGAATGCAGGGATGCACACAAGGAGTGTTTGTGAGTGTTTTTGTCTGTGTGGAGTTATCATGTGTAGGAATGCAGTAATGTATTGTTGTTGTGGTGTCATCTTCATCTGCATGCAACGATGTGTGTTAATTCAGATGTATCATTGTATAGTTTGTCAGTATGTTTGTATTTGTTTGTATATGTGTGTGTGAATGCATAGCTTTGTTTGTGTATTGATGGTCAGTGTGTATGTTTGTGTTAGAACTCAGGTGCTATCTGCACCCTTTTCCTCTCAAATAATTTATCCCCTCCCTAAACATTTCAACTAGTCACCTTCCCTGGTCACTACCCTTCTATGTGCCACTTCTTTTCAAGTTGCTTTCCTTTTACCATGGCCACCACATGTCTCCACTCTCTCTCCTCTTTCTAAATCTTTTTCCCCCTCCCTAAACATTTCACCTTTTTTACTTCCTCCATCACTTGTTACTGTTCTTCTCTATGTCATTTCCCCTTCCCAAGTCTTTCTCCCATTCATCGCATTATTGCTCCTCTTTTGGTATGTTTTTGTATTCGCCTTCCTAACATGTTACTTTTGCCTCATTTCCACTGAGCGGTATGGTTCGGATCGGTACGGTTCGGAAGGGTTAGAATGGTCCAGCCTATTCAGGTGAGTGTTTCCACTGCAAGTCAGACCGCCAGGGGGCATGCAGGGTTTAAACCAAATGCCTAGTGTGTCATTTGTCGTGAGCCTTGACGTTTTCCTGTCCACCAATCAATGGATTGTATAGCATGACGCCAGTAGCTCTGCCCTAACCGTACCATTTCCTATGGACCTACATCTGAAGGGGACCCATTAATGGTGCGGTTTGGTTTGGTTGTATGGGCCACTTTCATAATAGAAACACTCAAAATAGTGTACCAGACCGTACCGACCCGAACCGCTCAGTGGAAACGGGGCATTTGTCTCCATGGGTCCAGTGGCATGGAGCACAGCTGGAGCTAGTTTTGCTTCAGTAAATTACAAACATAACCCCTTGTTGCCTGCACTATAGCAGTGTGAGCTGGCTGAAGTCCAACTATCCATGGCTGCGTTCTTCACCAATGCCAAGCTGTGAACCTAATGGCTCCAGAAGGTTTAATCCCAGGGTGCATGTGTGGTATGCAGTAGAAGGTGCAGGCACCCGTTTAGACTTAAACTCTCTATCCCAGGCTAGCTCACCAAGGTTCCGTTTTCAATCGTGTCAAGTAGATCAGGTTAGTGATTCTGACTCAATATTGCATAGTCTATATGTGCTTGAATAGTGACACAGTTTTTCATGTTTTGGCAGTGTGGTCCAGCATGTCATAGTTCACAAAACTGAGAAGATAAATTGGCTGTAATAATTCAGTAATCCCTAAAAAAAGAAGTGTGGGAATTTAACTAATTCATTTATACAACATGCTTCAAAACTAAGCTGGGGGGTCATAGTGGCTACGGTGCTTTGAGTATTCTTTTTAGATCTTTAAACCACACAACTGTTGGCCATAGAGATAGCTATATTTCCCAAAAGGTACACAGAGCCCTTTCCTGGAGACAATTTGTGCGTAAGGCGTCTTTAGTATTTTTGTGTACGAGCACCTATGAGATATAAAATGCACACACTGCTTTTAACACTAAAACATGAATAAACATGAAAACACTTCAGAAAAGATTTGTGATTTCCACACCTTATTTTCCTGAACCCTTCTCAGACACGTTACTCAGCTGAGCAGAACAGACATTGCAAAGTAAGATTCAAACCATGGCCTCGATTTAATAACAGTAGATACACTTTTCAAATTATTTAATGTTTTAGGATAAACCTTTCAAATCATTTATCTATAGAAGTCACAATTAAAATGGTAAGTATTGTAGAAAAGTAATTTTATTCATTTATTATATAAAATTATTTGCAAAGCGTATCCAAAAATATTACATGAAGGCTAATGTTACCTAGATGAGACTAAAAATTGTGTGTGAATGTGTCTTTCTGGAGGGTTCAAGCTGTACAGAGAACTGTTCAAGTACAATTCCAAATGCGGTTCTGCCTTTGCTCTATATAGTGCCTAGTGGGCGCCACGACAGAATTATTCATCTAAAAATATGAGGCACGTCAAATCGTGTGCATAGAGCAGGGAGCTTGATATCTGAATAATAATAAACTATGTTAAACCTTCAGCATAAATCTGTCAGTTACATCCAGGACAAGCATAACATCATCATATAAAGATAAATCAGGCAACTTAACATAGACCAAGACAGAGGTACATAAAGAGAATCGTAATAACAGAGATACATTGGGCACAACCTTTGGTGGTTGGTACCTCACAGTAAACCTGATTGATTATGATCATAATGTACAGGATGAATGAACAGTACTTAGTATAATGAGCAACGTGCAAACCTGGACCCAAGCTTTCACCTGACACATCGCTACATTAACTGATAATATGAATTATTGTTCCAGCATATCTGGACTAGTTTAGGGGCTGATGGTGGTAGCACGGTACACATGCTCACAAATGTATACGTAAATATTATACATTTGTTAAAATAAAATATGTTTTCCTCTGTGTCCAAATCATATTTTACCTCTTCTGTTACTCAGATGTTATGCTCCTTTTAGTCTCTACCAAGGTCATTTCCAAATCTCCCAAATAATATACCTCCTACTGAATCACAGTAGAATATATGGAATTGTGTCACTCGCCCCCTTGCATTTTTGGTACAGTTCCCAGATGTATTCATCCTGTTCATCTCTCCCAGCTGTTTTCCTCCAATGCTTCCCGCATTTAAAGCCCGCGCCATGATGCAGATGAGTACTCTCCCATGGCGCTGCCTACACTCTCGCTGTCTACACTCTCCCGTCACACACAAGCAATTCTACCAATGAAGGGAGCTTGAAAATGGAGAATGAGAAGGCAACATCTCCCGCCTGCATGCAAACCTACACGATTGAATCCAGATGCAGCTAGGCCCCATTGCAAACTACCTAGCTGCTGAAACTACCAACTCCACCTAAGTACATCTTCCAGCCATGGCTTCTGACGTGCCCAGGTTCCACACCATGCTTGATCCTGCTACCACCAGGGAGAACCCTGCAGACCTCACTAGGTCTGCTCTACTGTTGTCACTCCACCGCGTGTCTCCATATGAGTGGGCTGCTGGCTCCGACACTGGGACTCTCACGGCTGGACTCTGAGTCTCCAGGCTCGGAGAATTAAACTCTAGGCCTGGACTGAATAAAAATAATAATAATTTGCAGTCTGGTAGGGCTAGCAGTCAGCGAGCAAATAGTTAAAAAAAAACTCTGGCAGTGCAAGGGTTAATTATGAGAAGGCTGGCCAGCACTTGCTAGCCAGCCACCATATTAAAAACAGAAATAGATGGGGGGGGGCGTGGCCAACTGCAGAGCAACCTGGCTGCTTAGGAAATTGCTCTGGCACCCGGGCTCTCAGAATCCGACAACATCGCCTCTCAGGGCACTAAAAAACACACCCAAACGCATGATGTCAAACCCCAAAGGGAAGAAGAACGCACAGAAAACTGAAAAACTGAATTTCTTTACCCACAAAACCGCGAGCAGCTCTGAAGTTGATCGTGGCCCAAATCAAGATGGCGCCGACGACCAAACAGCGGGAAACATCACAAACACAGGCCCATCACATGAAAGCCAGGAAAACCTGACAAAATCACACCTAGATGAGGCGATGAACAACATGGCTGACAAACTCATAAAAACATGGCAATCCTCCAGAGGACAACTTAGCAAGGAGATCCAAGACATTGGCAGCAGAACCACACACGTGGAAAACAAACTGAGCGAATATGCTACAGCATATAACGACATGGCTGACCATGTGGCGACACTGGAACATAAAATAGCAACCATGGAAGCACGCATGGCGGATGCCGAAGATCGCTCACGGAGGAATAACCTCAGATTGAGAGGAGTCCCAGAGAGCATTTTGCCGAATGAGCTACAGGCCTATGTCCAAGGCCTCCTGCGGGCATACACTCCGGACATACCCACAGAGATGCTCCTAGTGGACCGGGTACACAGGGTGCCCAAGCCACGCAACCTACCTGATTCCATCCCCCGGGACGTCCTGCTGAGAGCACATTACTTTCATATAAAGGAAGCGGTGTTGCGAGCCAGTAGGAACTCCACAGAACCGCATGGGACCTATGCAAAAGTTAAGATACTGGCTGACTTATCCGCGGCAACCCTCAAACGCAGAAGGGACTTTCACCCGGTGACAGAGGAGCTGCGCCGCGCTGGAATTAGATACCGCTGGGGATACCCCACCAAGCTATTAATCATGAAAAACGGCGAGCTCAAAATTATCTACACACCGGACGAAGGCACCCGGACCCTGAGAGAATGGGGGCTGGCAACAGATCCCCCCCGAAACCCAGACGAGCCCAACTAAGCGACTGATACCAGAATGGCGCCAAGCCCCAGCACAAGCCAAATCCCCGTGCCTTGCTCGGTGAACTCTGCTGACAAAGCCAAAACCAGGGACACGTGAGATATTCACATATACTAATATCGTGTACATAGTTCTTGTTTCAGTTCAAACAAGGTTAATTGCTTTGATTAGCATATATGTTTAAATAGCCAAATAACAATACACACAATAGGATAGATGCTGGCAGGGGGAGTACCCCTCACATATGATACTCATGGAGTACTCCGGGAAACAGAGAGGGCCCGTATCATATGTGTACAAGTTGAAAGACGCGACCCCAGAGAGCTAGGGGTAATCATGATGTCTATTGTAAACTGTAATAGCTGATGTTGTGCATATATGATGACTGTAACCTAAGGACGCAGATTATTATGTCAGATTATTATGCAGGGTGACTGCTTCTATGAATGAGACGCTATCTGTAAACCACATCGCACAAACACATACTGCATGATCAAGCAGGCCAAGTATACTGCACTCATTCCCCCCCCCAATACACTACGGAAATCAAAGGAAGTGCACCCACAACCTAGGCCATAAGCACCGCAAAATGCATTATGTAGAACTGATCTCCATAGCAGGCACGACAAACCACGCTAATAGAAGAAGATGAAAATAGAATAACATATCAGCAAGATAACCACTTAGACAAAGCTCAAGTTATACTCAACACCTGACAAACTTGGATTAAAATGCTGTACATGCATACCCTAAACCACCCATACACGCTAGCCAGCAAATTAGCAACATACACACTACTCACATACCCACTGGATCACAGCTCTGAGGAAAGATACAAATGTGTAATTATGAGAGCCCAATGGCCACACTACTCGAGACGCTGCCTAGGCGTCCATCCCCCATGGCACAATGCCAAAGTGCCAAGACCCACGTTTGGGTCAGTTTGTATATACTTTGTTTGTTACCCCTTCCTTCCCCCACCTCTCCTGAACCTCTTACTCCCGGGCACAAATATGCAGCCGCGCAGATGCCGGCAACAAGGCATATAACGCAGCCACTGTTCACACCACAACATAACATAGACTCCGCGGAACTACAAACGAGCATCGCTTATCACACACCTATTACATGAAAATATACTCACACAACTGTAGGGGGCTGAATACCCCCCATAAAAGCCAAACAACATCGAGCGGACATTATATGTCTACAGGAAACCCATTTTGTTACCTCCAGAGTGCCCAACTTCGGCGCACAACACTACCCCCACCAATACCACGCAACGCATTCATCTAAATCCATCCTTCTACACTCATCCCTAGCAGTGGAAACATTACACGTTATCAAAGATAAACAAGGTAGATTCGTGATGTTGCAATGCCTCTTAAACAACTTACCATACACTATAGTCAGCTTTTATGCTCCTAATGTACATCAGCAAAACTTTTTACACAAGATGCTCTCCATAATCCCAACCCACCAAACTGCCTCAATCATACTATGCGGAAACGTCAAACAACCCCTCGACCCATACATGGATACCACACTAAAAACCACAACACAAAGACACAAAACTATTAAAACACAAAGCAAGGCAATCAACAAGTTGCTAGGAGAATATGGCCTGTATGACTCTTGGAGAACATTCCACCCAAGTGAGAAAATGTTCTCTTTCTATTCAGCAGTACACAAATCATATTCAAGGATAGATTTCATCCTTCTTATGGGCCCACTTACTCTCTAAGGTAGCACACAGCGAGATCGGGGACATAACATGGTCAGACCATGCCCCGACCATGGCAGAGCTGACTGAGGACTTCCAACACAGAGGGAGACCGCCATGGCGGCTGAATGACTCACTTTTAGGTGATCACACATTCTCTACAATACTATCAGAAGCACTGCAATCATACTTCCATGATAACAATACCCCAGATGTACAACCGACCACTGTGTGGCAGGCACATAAGGCGGTCATTAGAGTCCTCATCAGCCGAGCCTCCTACCTCAAAAAGAAAGCACAAAGAGAATACCTACACCTGCTGCGCACCCTAAGAGATACGACGGCAGCAAATATAGTAAAACCCTCACCGCAACTAGCCCACGTAATAAAAGACACCACAACAAGCATCAACAACATGGCAATCTCCAAAACCGCACACATATTACAAAAACTGAAACAGAAAACATACTCACAAGGCAACAAAGCCCATACCTCCTCACACCCAAAGGCTCTAAAAACAAATCCCATACCTCCTCACACCCAAAGGCTCTAAAATCCATAACCCACAGGACATTAATGACACCATGGCAAACTACTACCACACACTATACAATCTCAAAGATGACCCAAACCTACACCAACCCACACACCAGGAAATCCAAAGCTTCCTCCAATTGTCCTCACTGCCAACACTGACAGAGCAACAGAAAACCATATTGCAAGACCCAGTAACGCATGAGGAAATACAACAAGCCATACACTCACTCCCCCATGGCAAATCACCAGGACCCGACAGATTCACAAACTCCTACTACAAAACGTTGACCACAATCCTCACCCCACATCTAGAAAAAGTCTTTAACCATATCCTCATGACGGGCCAAATACCCCAAGATATGCTCATGGCACACGTAGCCACCTTACCGAAACCAAGCAAACCCCCTACGAAATGCCAAAACCTTAGACCAATTTCCCTCCTTAACACGGACATCAAACTGCTAGCAAATATTTTCTCCAACAGACTAACGAACATTATTCCAACACTAATACATGAGGACCAGGTGGGTTTCGTCAGTGGCAGGCAGGGAGCAGACGGGACCCGAAAGGTTTTAGACCTGCTGCAAAGGGGACGGGGGGGAGGGCCCAGTGCGTCATGTTATCACTTGATGCTGAGAAAGCCTTTGACAGACTGCACTGGCCCTTCCTCCAGGCAGTCCTGCTCAAATATGGATTCCCGAACGCCTTTTTAAGATTGGTGGGAGCGCTGTACTCCAAA